CCCATATAGTGCCCTAAGCTCCTCAAGGCATGATCCCTGAAGGCGGAGGCAGAGTAAGCCCTGAGAACCTCCAGGTGTGGCTCTGGAAAATACTGACCAGAATCAGAGATCAGGGAGACCTTTCCAAACTGCAGCTGAGCCTTAGCAGTAGTTATATGAATGATTAGATGATCAGGCCCTGCTGTTTTCCTAGCAGAGGGAGCTCACACATGTAATCTCTACAATATTTGATGTACAGCCTTCAATTTGCAATTAAAACTTCCTAGGCGTGTCAAGGCACAAAATCACTTGGAAATACAAAAAGATGGGTTGAATTTGGGACAGTGATATTACAGCAAGGAGGGTGCTTGCCTTGCAATGGCTGACTCAGGTTTGATCTTAGGTACCCCATACGGTCCCCACCCCCGCCAGGAATAGCCCTGAGCATCACCAGGTATGACCCAAAAACAAAAAGATGAGTCAGAGCAACAGTATGGCAGGTAGGGCACTTGCTCTGCACGCAGCAGACCCATGTTTGATCCCCAGCATCCCATATGGTGCCCCCAAGTCTCAAAAGTGATCTGAGTGCAGACCTAGGAGTAAGCACTGAGCACCGCTGGGTGTGGCCCACACCCAATAAAGAAAACCGAAACAGACTATATAGGAAAACCAGCCCAGACCAGAGATGGCTCATGTATTGGTTGGAATTAGCAGGCAAACATTGTACAACAGCTCCAACGAACAAAATCAATAAAATAGAAAATGCAAAAAAATTGGGGGTGGGGGGCTGGAGAGATGAGAGATGAGATGGTTAGGCTCTTGCCTTTTATACAGCCAACTCGGGTTTGACTCACAGCACAGCCTGGAATATACCTGGAGCGCTAACAGATGTCCTTCTTTCCCCAGACACCCATGCCAAAGTAATAAGAGACAAGGAGACTGTAATCTATATGCGGAGTATTTTGAACTTTTAAGGATTCAAAAAGGGAGCAGAGAGATAGTACATCAAGTAGGGTGCTTGCCTTGCATGCTAGTTGACCAGTGTTTGATCTCCAGCATTCCATATGATTCCTCAAGCCCTGCTAGGATTCAGCCCTGAGCATCACTGTATGTGACCAAAACCCAAACAACAGAAATTTTTAAAGCTGCTTAGATATGAGAGATTTAACAACTTGAAAGTAATGCAAAAAAAAGATCGTAACTAAAAAAAAAAAAAAGGTTGTAACTACAACGGGGGGAAAAGAATGAGAACTAAGAGTTGAATGCCTGGTGTATGGAAATAACCATAATCCCGACATGCAAGGAAATGTCACAAAGCAGATTTTCCAAAGTTGCTGAATACCTAAATCCAAGAATGTCCATGAGCTCCAAACAGGAGGAACAGAAGCAAAACCTTACCCAAGTGTGTCATTCTCAAACTTCTGGAAAGAGGCAGGCAGATGACAGCTCAGAAATGAGGCTACAATAACAGGAAAGCAGGCTGGAAACAGCAGTACTTGAGCAGGATGCTTGCCTTACAAGCTCAATTCAGCAACCCTCTGGTCTTCCATGCTGCACCAAGAGTGATCCGAGTGCAGAGAGGATGCCATGCCCTAAGCATGCCAGGTGTGGTCTAAAAACCAAAAGAATAAAAGTAGGAAGGGAGGACTGAAGACACAGCAACCTAACTTAAACATCTTAATGTTTTATTTCACACAATGGACTGAAGTATCAAAATGTGATCCACATAAAAGTGACATAAGAACATCACGACTTGAGTCCTGTGTAGTTTCCACATCCAGCCTATTTGGATTCACTAGCGCAAAATGCCACTTGCTACTCCTTGCCATCCACAGCATCTACAAGTTATTTTGTCCAGATGAAATGTCTGCAAAGAGTGAAGGTGTTGAGGAGTGCCTTCCAACGTACAAACAGTAGATTCCCTATCCACGGTACATTTGTGCAGCTTCATGGCAAAGGGGCCAGAGTCCAGTGGCACCCCATATAGTCCCCCAAGGCTGCCAGAAGTAATCTGCGAGAAGCAAACCCTGGACACCCCAAAGAACAATCAGTGGCAGGCCAAAACTCTCAAGAATTAATGGGGAAATATCCCTCTGCAGACGTTTTCCAGGGGTGGGAGGAGTTGTTATTCTGCTCTACTCATTTGACGGATGTTATCAAAGTCCAGGCAGCAGGCCTTTCGTTGACTGGAGCTTTGAATGCTGTTACAATAGCACTTCTTGTACCTACTCATGGTTCCTTTTTGTTCAAAATTGAATGTTGTTGGTTCGAGTTTCTTGCTACTTGCCCTTTTTGGAGTGCAGGTGGGGTAGGACCAAAACCCAGCAGAACCATGCAACATCAGGAACTGAACACAGTAGTCTGCCCATTCCTGCTGTGTGTGTGTGTGTGTGTGTGTGTGTGTGTGTGTGTGTTTTGGGTCACACCCAGCAATGCTCAGGGGTTACTCCTGGCAGTACTGGGGGACCATATGGAATGCTGGGAATGGAACCCAGGTTGGCTGTGTGCAAGGCAAACGCCCTACCTACTGTGCTATCGCTCCAGTCCCTGCAGTCCTACTCTCTTGGATCTTTCTGTATATAAGTTCTAGCAGACTCCATCAGGTTCCCAATTTCTGTTATTGGTCATGAGTTAGTGATTTGAGGCTTCTCACTTGTTCCTAGCCAACTGACTTAGCTAATCAAGCATCAAGCTTAAGACTTACTTATTTTTACTTCTGGGGTCCTTGCTTTTCACTATTTCCTACTTGACTTCCTTCGTCTCTGTTCTCTGTTACTTGCCTTCCATCACTAGCTTTGGGCTCATTCCTTTTGAGCTGAAAATAGGATGTCAGGCCTTGTTCCTCTGCTTCAGGTGTCCACATCCCAGCTTCTGCCCAGCTCCCTTCTGATCTCAGGAGTATTCACATTTTTTAAATTTTCCTTAACATTCTTAACCTATAACCCAGAAATTTCACTTAAAAAATTGTCCACTAGCTGTGTGAACAGAATTGCACTAAGAGGGATATAGAATAGAGGCATATATTCTTTTGGCTCATAATATCCAAAATATCAAAATAGCCCCAAATAATTGGTAAATTAGAGCAGTGTTTTCCAGGGTGGCAGAGCAGGGGACATTGGACCATCCACAGAGAGGTAGGTTCATTGGGTAAAATGCAAAGTGTCTGTTTGCTCCCTTAAGGGAGATTTCCAGGATGACAGTGTTCTTATTTTTCTGAAAAAGGGGAGTCAAGTCAAATACATTTGGAGACTTCGTGTTAGTTTCATAAGCCTTCAATAAAACATGATATAGCAATAAGCAGGGTATGGAAGTAAGCTATGCAACAGAAAGGAATTTCAGGAACATACTGAAATAAAATATCCTATATCCAAAATTGAACACAGTGAATGATTCCATCAATTAAAAGTCCAAAAACAGGGGCTGGAGTGATAGCACAGCAGGTAGGGCGTTTGCCTTGCACGCGTCCGACCCGGGTTCGATTCCCAGCATCCCATATGGTCCCCCGAGCACCACCAGGAGTAATTCCTGAGTGAAGAGCCAGGAGTAAGTAACCCCTGTGCATCGCTGGGTGTGACCCAAAATGCAAACCATAAAGTCCAAAAACACAATAAATTATGTAATTAGGGCTGTGTTTAAGTGAACTAAACCACTGTCACTGTCCTCCTGTTTGATTTGCTTCATCTGTTTGAGCAGGCTCAGTAACGCTGTGAGACTTATTACTGTGTTTGACATATCAAATACGCCACGGGTAGTTTGCCAGGCTTTGCCGTGCAGGTGAGATACTCTGAGAGAGGCGGATGAATCGAACTCGGGTTGGCCATGTTGGCTACGTGCAAGGCAAATGCCCTACCCGCTGTGCTATCACTCCAGCCCGAACTAAACCAATACTCAAAAAATAGCAGACTGTACTGGTAAGAGGTAGGGCCTCCTACCCAGGGCGTAGGATGGGGTCACTGCGGCAGTGTCCACAAACCTGTATTTTAATGTAAGCATCTGCTGTGTCACATTCACTTAGCAGTCCTCTCTGATGTTTATTTTACAATACACAAGATAACTCAAGTGAACTCAAGAGCCTGAGGGATAGTACAGCAGGGAAGGTGCTTGTCTTGCACAGTCCACCTGGGTTCAGTCTCTGGTACTCCATAATGTCCCCTCAACCCAACCAGGAGTGATCCCTGAGCACCAATTTGTGTGACCAGAAAACCAAAAACGAAAGAAAGGCCAGAACAATAGTGTAGCAGGTAAAGCACTTGACTTGCACGTGGCCAATGTGGGTTCAATTCTTGGCATCCCATATGGCAGCCCAAGCACTGCCAGTAGTAATTCCTGAATGCAGAGCCAGGAGTAACCCCTGAGAATCGCTGGGTATGGTCCAAAAACCAAACAAAATTTAAATTTTTTTAAAAACAAAAACCCAGAAAGGGAGCCGCAGGAGGCTGAGAAGTCGGACAGGGCCTTGCCAACAGCCAGGACAGAGCGCTGGAGGCCCCCGCCTGGCTCAGCAGGTCTGGGTACGCAGGAGTACTCAGGCCCCCAGCACTCCCCCCAATTAATGAAGGATGTCCACATTAGCTGGGTGGGGGCCCAGGAAGGGCCTGCTCATACCCCCACATCCCTCGGGTGTGCTCTCTCCATTCACCCAGGGACCCAGGATGGCCATCCGGGAGCCACTGCACCTCTCCGGGCCTGGGAATGGACACCCCAGGAGGTAGCCGTGTGAGGCACCTGCAGTTCAGGGAGCTGCAAGCACCATGTGCAACCCCAGACAGCTCTTTCGTCTGAGGTGTCACCTGCTCTCTGCCCCACGTGGCCAGCACCCAGTCTCCAGCTCCTCTCCTGGGCCGCAGAGCCCCCGGCCGCCAGCACAGGCCCACACCCCTCTATCACTCCCCTTCCTCCCTAAGGTCAGTGTGCACTCTCAGAAGTGCCCTGCCACCTGAGGCTGCAGACCCGCCCAGCCATACACAGACCTGGGAAGGCAGCAGCACAGGACCCTCTAGGAAGTGCATGAAGACACAAGCTGCGGGGTCAAACCACCGGTTTTATTTCCGTCTATAACACTAGCAGTCCAAAGGAAACAGACTTACATGGGTGCAGTTTAAATGGAACAAAGACTTGAACTATATACAAGAAGCGGGGGGGAAAGGGGTTTTCCTCTTCACTTTTCTCCTATTTTGCAGTTTCTAAAGAGTAGAAACTAAGTATTTTTCCCAATTTAATTTAGTAGGAAGTGATACAACTTTTACAGTCAACTGTTTGTCAACCATTTGGTGGCACGGTCATCCTGGCTCCTGAAGCTGGCACTGCTTGAACCCAACAGTGCTTCCCTTCCAAGCCTGGGAGACCAAAATGGTGCCATCCAGGGAGGGTGGGGAGTGGGAGGGACCAATGGCAGCTCTCGAAGTACAAAAACTACCTGCATTCAAGCTCAAAGACAGAGTGAGGAACAAACTCTTCAGAGAGGACACTCCTTCCGCCCAGCTAAAGTGATTCCTGTGCCGAGTCCCTGCTCCTTCAGGGAAAGCTGAAGGTCGCTTATTGCTTGCAAAGCCAGAGCACAGCCCTCACCACTCCATGTCTCCCAGGAAGGCTCTGGGCTTGGGATGAAGCTTCTGGACCAGGGTGCAGGAGATGGGGTCCTGCTGGCTCCCCACCCTGGGGGGCCACCTCACCTCACCTCCTTGCTCACACATCTGAGTCCAGAAGTGGGGTTGGTCAAGAAAGCCACAGTGGGCTGGACGCTTCCGAAACTGGCACTTGGGCAGCTGTGATGAGAGAGAGGCCGCTAAGGCCACTGTTGCTGCCACCACCTCCCAAAAGACATTAGGCAGCTGGAACTGGGATGAGAGCAGAAGGCAAACCCAGGACAGATGTCATCAAAAATACCATCTTCACCCTGTCCTTGGCATGGCCATGTGATGTTCCTGAGAGCAGGGGCAGACAGGAGGCAGCACAAAGGCCCTGCCTCACCGATAACTCCAGACCCTCACCGGGGCACTCCCTGCCCGTCTTCTGGGACTCCACAGTGGGCCCAGAACTGCTTTATTGCACATGGTCACTGAGAAACTGGCTCTCCTGCTCCACAGAACCCTGCACAGCCACAGTGGAGGAAGGAGCCATGGGGCAGACCTGAGCATTCTCACCAAAGCCTGAACTGAGACAGCACTGCCCGAACACCAGACAGAGCCCCGTGTGGGACAGTTCCAGGCAAGGGTGCAGCTCTTGGGGAACCTTGAGCTATGACTCTCAGTCCAAAGTGCCCGATGGCCCCTCCAGCTTTAGACTGGAGGGAACAGGGTGGACGAGAGTGGGAAGCAGAGCAGTTTCCATAGCCCAGGCTGGCTTTGAAATGGTCTTTTGGAGCTCAGAGTTGGAGGCAGGCAGGCACTCTGGCGAGGCTAGCCAGCCGGCTGGCACTCGCTCTCGTTCTCTTGCACGCTCTCTCTCTCTCTCTCTCTCTCACACACACACACACACACACACACACACACACACACACACACACACTCTCTCTCTCTCTCTCCCTCTCCCTCTCCTCTCTCTCTCCCCCCCCACCCCCCCGCTGCAGCTGCACAGCTCATATATAAATGGGGTGGTATCGTTTGTGGTTGATCTTTTTCCGGCAGGTCGGGCAAGTGTTCGCGTTCTTCAGGGAGTCGCGGAGGCACTGGCTACAGAAAACGTGGCCACACTCTGTGGAGACGATGAGGCGCCCATTCTGCACGATCTGGAAAACAGACAGCTGAGTGTCCATGCTGGCCCGGCCCCAGCAGTCCTGTCAGCGCGGGGGAACAGAACCCTACAGCTGGTCCTGACACAGGTCGTAGCCATGGCAGTGCGGGGGAAGCTCCCAACACCATAGCAGCCTGCCACTGTCCACCAGGACCACACAGGGCAGCAGGCAGTCCCTCAGCTCCAGGCCAACTTACCTCTGAGTACCCGTCCATGCAGATCGGACAGCTGACCGTCCCGGATGGCCTGAAAGCACAGGGCTCTGTGTAAGGAGCTCATGCCAGAACCTACAGTGCTCACTCTTAGAGCATCAGAAGAGGCCCAACAACAATGCTCTACTGCAAGCATCCCCAGCCTGTGCTCCCAGAAGCACCCCCAGGTATTCCTGTCCCACCACGCGAAGGCCTCACAGGCCTGAGCACAGGGTGAGGGAGCATCATCTCCTGCCCGACCCACATGCCCTCAGCACTGAGCACTCCAGGGTAGGGCGCGGGCACACACAGCAGCAGGGCAGTGCCAGCTGGTACCTGAGCCCCGTGGCCGCCTCATCTCGGGCGTGTCTAGGAGTCCGCGTGGTTACATACACATCTCTGTCCCTGGAGAGCTCATCGTCGTCACTGCTCACCACACAACTGTCAGTATGCTCCTGGCGTGGCCTCCGCCCATTCCTCCTGGGCCGTCTCCTCTCTAAGGTACGAGGTGCGAGGCCACATTCAGGTCAGACCACCCACTACCCTTCCCCCACCCATCGGCTGTCTGCACCCCAGAGGAAGGCCCTGCACCCCGAGAGGCCCCACCCCATACAAGCATCTGTCCAAGGTGGGGGCCTTCCTCACAGCTCCTGGGGCCCATATGCAGCTCCTTCCAACCCACACGGGCCCTGCCGGCCTGAGGAGAAAGGCCAGGAAGACACTCACCATCCACAATCTTGGAGAAAAGAGAGAAAAGAGAAAGGCACAGTCAGTTTGGTGTCACAGTTCTTCCCAGTGCCCATCCCGTCCCCTCTGCCCTCCCAGGAGAACCCCTGGGGCTGCCTCCCCACTAGGCCATGCTGTAACCTGGCAAGTCACTGTCCTATCCCAAAACTGGCTGCTACCGTAAGGACCAAGGAAAAATAGGCTGTGGCCCCAGGGCCACTCGTGACCTGCTCCCCTTGTTCCTGCTGCATGCAGGCAAACGCAGAGACAGAGTATTCACCGCAAACAGTATCCAGTGCCAAGAGGGCAGCTCCGAGAGCAGACCAACACAGCAGGTCTGATCCAGCAGCACTTTGCACCCCAGCCCTCACAAACAGGCACTGACCCTTCTCCCTCTCGCTCGCTGCAACTCAGTGTGCAGGGCACAGTGTACACAGTGGCCCTTCCACTGAAGGGCACAGGCACCTGCCACCAGCTGGGTCTATCCAAATCTGGGATCCCACATGTGCCAAACCAACCCCAAAGGGCCCTTTCAGGGCTAGGGCACGAAGTGGCAGCTTTGAGAAAGATACAGCAGGTCCAGCACCGTGCACCCCACCGAACTGGCCCTGAACAACACCACACCCCTCTTGTGGGGCCAACGTTGAGCCATGGGGCCATAGTGCCACCTATTTTCACACCTGCTGTCCTCCTACCCACCAGGTCCTAAGCTCAGGTAGGCCAGGCCAGAGGCTCTCAGCTATGGGCGAGCACAAGTCCCTGCTTCACACAGGCTGCCAGGAAGCTCCTTAAAAAGAGTAACACGTGGCAGGCCCAGCCAGTATCCAGAAGCCACCGGTGGAGAGACTGGAGAGATAGCCTAGTGGTTAAGGTTTTAGCCTTGCACTTCCCACCCTGGGTTCAATCCCTGGCACCCCATATGGTCCCCCACACAGCACCAGGAGTGATCCCTGAGCACTGCTGGGTATGATCCAAAAACAAAACAACAACAATAAAAACGGGTATCCAGCAGCTACTCAGCAAAACAGCACCACCCACTCCTGCCTCAAGAGCCACAGAAGGTGGCACATTCCTCCCTGAATCCATGGACAATGCCTCCCAGCTGCTACCTGCAGGGCAATGCCTCCTGCAAGGAGCCTTGGCCAGGCACAGCACTCACTAGCTACCTCTGATGGACACAGCATCCACTAGCCACTTCTGCCAGACACAGCATCCACTAGCAGCCTCAGCCTGATACTGCATCCACCAGCCTCTTCAGCCATGTCCACTAGTTACCTCGGCTGAGCACAGCATCCACAAGCCACCTCACCCGGGCACAACCTTCACTAGCCACCTTTGGCTGGGCATGGTACAGGGCAGCACTGAGGAGACCTCACACATCACACCATCAACAGTCCAGAGCAGGCTCCAAGGAAGAACCAACTGCTCTTCGGGGACAGGACATCATCACCCAGCAATGTCCAGGGCCTATTCCTGGCTCTGTGCTCAGGGTCAGCCCTGGTGGGCTTGCTATGCAGTCGCCCACGTTCATGGCAAGTGCCTCACTTGTGCTATCTCTGACCCCTTGGCTGAATTCATATTTTGCATGTAGTTAGAACCTCTGTATCGCGTGGTCCCCCAAGCACCATAACGAGGGACCAAGAGACAAGTAACACTCTTCTGGACTTGTGAGGGAACAGTCTAAGGAACAGCATTTTTACACATGCACACACACAGACCACCTCTTTTCCCAACGTCACTCCCAGCCAGAGCAGACTGGCTCAAGGAAGTGGCCTCAAACTTTCATCTACCAATTAAACCAGTATAACAATGAGAAAAGATCCCATAGGATCCTGAGTCCCTCCTGGCCTAATTTCCAAGTGCAAAGCCAGGAGTAAGTCCTGAGCATCGCCAGGTGTGGCCCCAAAAAAACAAAGACCCCACCAGGCCTAGGTAGGGCTCTTCCAGCAACCCCAAAGCAACCTCTCTTAGAAAGTTCCAGTCACTCCGGGTCTGTCTGGGAGCCAAGCACTTAGCCAGGATCTAATCCAATGCTGGGCAAGACTAGCAACCTCTGCTCTGTGGAAGGGGGTTGATGTGCAGACATGGGCACAGGACAGGGCAACTGCCCAGCTGTAAACTGAGGGTAGTGCCACATCTGAGATTAGCAAGACTGTCATCCCCATCCTTCCTCTGACTGAAGTCTCACAGCTTCTCTGGGAACCTCTAAAGTTTGTAACCCAAGACCAGTTAGCGGGAACACAGGGGGTGGGGGTCAGGGGTGCTACCAGTACCCGCACACAACAGCCTGCAGACCACACCAGTGCCGCCGCCTTCCTGCCTTGCCCAGGCCCGTCCACTCCTAGCACATCCCAGCGGAATGAAAATGCCAAGGGGCACAAGGGCTGCAGGCCTGCTCAACCCAGATCAGACTGCTGAGCCCCCCCACTGTGCACCCCATCCTCAGGCCACCACGCTGCAGTTGCCCAGGTAGTGCCACCCATTTCCCGGGCACACTCAAGCTGCCAGTCACAATACTCCCCCTACCCCTCAGGCATGGCACACCCCATGTAGTCAGGAAAGCTGTGAAGCAGCAGACCAGGGACTATGGTGGAAGTTCCGTGCCAGCTAGGAAGGTCATACACAACCTCAACTTACCACAACAGAGTCATTGTGCGTCAGGTCGACCACCACAGGCTCTAGAGACTCACAGGTAAGGTCCACAATCTCATCTCCAGCTTCAAATTGACACAAGAAAGCAGTGTTAGTCCCCCCCCCCCCCCCCCCCAGGGGAAGGTCTCACACACAGACACACAGGCTCATCAGCACAGGGGTCCACCCTTGTGGAGTGACACTCACACTGCCAGGTCACGGAGCTGTCAGGGGAAAAGCCACACTGGGCTCCGCACCTCCAGGCAGAGAGCTCTCCATCAAGCTTTGCAGGGCTCCCAACAAACCGGCAACACTCACACGCCCCCCAGAACCTCAGCCATGGGGACAGCCGTGAATCCCAATCACCTGTTCTATTAGTCCTGAGGTTGGAAAGCTGAGGCAGGGCTTGGAACCTTCCAATGCCCTCAGCACATTCGCCTCATGCTCTGTTCCTGCAACCTTGCCGGGAAGGAAAGCCCGTTGCAGCAGGTGTCCTGCAGGGCTTATGCAAGGCCGGCTGGCTCTTGGTTAAGAACGAAGCCCTTCATAGCAGGACAAAATTTTGGCACTTCCTTTCGAGTCGCACTTCAGGGGCGCACACTCACACCAGAGCTTCTGCTTGGCAATGGCAGTGCGGACAGGTCCCTCAGAGCTCATGGCTTCCTGGGGCATAGCCAAGGAGGGGATAGGCCACCCCACCCTGGTGCTCCCTCCCTGCACTCTTGCTGGTCTTCCAGGACAAGTGTGTTACTTCTGGAAAGAGCTCAGAGGAAGCCAAGCACCCAAGCAAACTGGAGAAGGCATCCAGACAGAAAGGCGGGCCCAGGTCAGCCACTGCCCCGCCGGCCAGTCCTGGAACCCGCAGGCAGCTCAAGTCAGTTCCGTGGCCTACAGAGGCTTTGGGGTGAGGGAGGCACAATCTGCTCATCTGGCTCCAGGTGTGACACTGAAAGTGGGTCACGACAGCCACATGGGCCGCACAATGCACACCAGTTACAGGGATCCAAGGGACTCTAGGGGAGCAAGTGGGCCACTCAGGTGCCCCGCAGCCCTGAGCGCCCTCTCCCATCTCCCGACGCAGTCTCACCACTTTCCACGAGCTCTATGGGCTCAGCTTCCAAGGCCATCTCGGGGGTGGGGGCAGCTTCCCGGGCTCGTTTCTGGGCTTGTCTAGAATTTGATGTGCCACTACGACGCTTTCTCTGAGGAAACAAACAGTCCCGTGAGCTCCCAGCTGGAGGGGTAGCGCAGCAGGCTTGGATCTCAGAGCCCTGCCTGAGCAATACCCACCCACTGGCTACTTCGGCCACATCACAAGCACGTGCAGGGCGCCGGGAACTACGCGGGGATGGGAGTATCACAGCCGCCTTCATGGCATGTCTGTGATCCCTGAGTCAATGTCAGAGGAAGGAGGAGCAGGCAGGCTCAGTGAGGAGCATGGGGGAGGCAGTCACCCAGTGTGGGGGCAATAGTGGGTTCCGACAGAGACAAAGTCTCCATAATTCTGAGGAGCAAATCTCTTCTCTGCAACCATCAGGTCTCGCAGCGAGGATCTTCAGGAGTTGGTCAGGGTTTGGTCCTAAACCTTCCACTTCCACTAAGAAGCTGCTCCTGTCACATGGCCCGCCCGCAAGGCTGTAGCGCACCAGGAATCTCACATCTGCCGTGGCTCCCAGGGACCCAAATAACAGTGCCCGCAGCCTGGCACTGGCCAGCCCCAATCTCTAGGGTGGGTCCCGCGGGCATGCCCTCAGTTCTGGAGTTCCCGTCGCTGTGGAGAGCGGGATTCCCTGAAAGGCCCCCTACAGACCACTACCTGTCCCACCACAGTTCTCCACACTCAAGACCATCCCTTCAGAGGCCTGGCTGCTCCAGGTGACAAGCCCCTCCGAGTCCCCTTTCACCCGCACCAAAGCACTCCTGGCCTCCTATGCCCCTTCTTCCCTCTGCCCTGTCCCACTTCTCCCTGGCACAGGGACACCAGTGCCCGCAGCTGTTGTGAGGGTAAGAGACCACAGGTGTGGGAGATGGGGCCTGGCTGCACAAGCTCCTCTGCATATCCGAACAATTTGAAGTTTCAAGAACTCCCACCACCCCACAGGGAAAACTGAGTCTGGATACCAAAAACTACCCATGTGGGGCTGCTCACAAGGACCCAGGCTTAACCCTGCCAGGGGAAAAGAAGTGAGCACTCCAAGAGGCCACGCCGGCTGTGGACTTAGCACACTGCACCAGGCTGGCAGCCCATGGCCCACTGCAGCGGCCCCACCTCTGCCTGGCTGCTCAGAGCCCCTCCACGCTCCACACTGACCTTCACATGGTCTCCCTGGCCTGCTGTGCCGGAAGGTCCAAAACAGTCTTCAGGGCCTGCTCAGAGATCACCCCCATCACAGACCTTCTTCCTCCCAAATCCCTACTCAGGCCACCCCACGACAGACCTTCTTTCTTCCACAGTCCCTACTCGGGTCACCCCCATCACAGACCCTCTTCCTCCAAGTCCCTTGCTTGGCACAAGGGTGGCTGTCGCTCAGTAGGGCTGAAAAACACCAACATGGACGGTCCCATGTCTTCGTGCTGACCCAGTATTCACAGGGCCCTTCTGTGGCGGTGTTCAGCCGGTGGATCACGCCTCACGGTGCCCCACTGGGCTGCAGCGCTAGCGTTATGCACGCTCCTTTGGTGAGTCTGACTCGGCCCCCCTTTCTGCACGGAAATGGGCCAGGGAGATGGCTGAGGGTAGGACTCAGACTGTACACACGTGGCCAGCCAGGATGGACTCCCTTGCGCTACATGGTTCCCCAAGAACTAAGTTGATAAAAAACCCCAAGCACCACCCAAACAAAAAGGTGACTATCCAGGGACCAGAGAGAGTACAAAGGTCACAGGACTTTGTCCTACTTGCAATGTACTGGGTTCAATCCCCAGCACATCTGGTCCTCGAGTCCCACCATGAGTACTCCCTGAGTTCAAAGCCCTGGCATTGTCCTGTACCATGTGAGCAGCCTAGTCTCTTTCACGGCTTCACACCGAGGCCCAAGCCTGTTCCCCTGGCAGTGAGCTGCAAGAGTTGACAAGGAAAGACCTGTCTTCAAAAGGGGGACAAAGGCCTGTGTGTCCCAATAGCAACCCTGGGCCTGGCCACACTGGAGGCCAGCAGGGAGCCAAGAAAGGCAGCAGAGAGGACAGCCAGAACCCTCACTGGTCATAACCCCCCTCCCACATACAACACATACGCACACTCCCCCACAGACACGCACACGACACCCACTCCCCACACTATGCCCCACAATGCTACACCCCCCAACACAACACCCACCCGCCATACTTATCTCCACCCCACTCATATCACACACACCTCCCCCACACAGAACGTCCCCTACAAAACACACCCTACACACCCCTCTGGGACTACGGAGATCTGAGAACCCCCCACTGCTCTCTCTCCTGTCCTCTCCCCCCCCCCGAAAAAAAACATACACACCTCTGCGGATACAGAGAACCTGAGCTGCTCCAGAGGCTACTGAGATCCAAGGGGACATAGGAACACAGAGGGAAACTGAGGCAGGTGCCCTCAGGCAGCCTTCCCTGGGCCCTGACACCACTCAGCCTGGCTGCATTACCCCCTAAGGGCTGTGCACTGAACTATAGTCCTAGCACTAAACAGAGCGACAGAGGAGCCCTGAACACTGCTGGGAGAGCCTTGCCAAGGAAGACACAGAAATGAACCTGCGCTCATCCGGCCTGGAGAGAAGCACTTTCCCAGCACCCTTGTTGGGCCCAAGCAAACTCACCGTACTCATGATGCTGGGGCTGGGCCACGGAGTCTGCAGGAAGCGTCTCAGCCGTGCACGTGCTGCCGGTGCATCCTCCCTCTGGCCCAGGCAGATGGGCAGCCAGAGATGTCCAGTCCCCGCAAGTCCTACAACAAAGTCCAATTTGAAGTCTGCCCCAGCACTTGGCCGGGCCAGGGCCTGTCCTGAGCCACACACAGCCCGTCATGGCCTGAAGTGCTCCTGTGCTCTGTGACGCGTGCTCCAAAGCACCCCACAAACAGGGACAGAGCAGGACCAAAGTCTCCGGTTTTTTCAACATCACGGTAACCCCACCCAAGCCACCCCGTGCCAGCCACCAATGCGTGACAGGAAGGGCAGGGCTGTCCTGGGTGAGCTGAGGGGGGGTGGAGGGGCAGTGGACAGAGCAGGAAGATGTCCTCAGTGTCACCTGTGGCAGATGGGGGCTCTAGCCTGAGACCCCGGAAGGTGACTGCTCAGGCACTGGGGACCGTTTGCAATGCCTATGCCTCCCAGGAACGAGGCATGTGGCATCAGCAGGGCAGTGGGTGCAGCCGAATAAGGGCTCATGGACAGCGGCTGACACAGCCAGCTTCCACTTTGTGGTGTATCCAAGCCCCATGACAGTGGCAGCCCTCAGGCTCGAGCCGGCAATGATTCCCACCTTTCTCCGGCCCTCAAACAGGCGGGAAAGAACCTGGTGTCTATCATCTAGCCCCTGGCCCCAGCTCCCAGAGAGGCAAGGCAGCCTCAGTGCCACTGGGGGGGGGGGGGGGTGCGTGAGACAGGTGGGACACTTTCAGACCCCCTCTACAGACCCTGGACTGGCCCTATACTGCTCCCAGGAAGTGCCTCCATTTCTATTGGGGGGCTGGGGCCTTTTCCAGCCAGCTCCCAGCCTACTGCAGACACTCCTGGGGCACACATCATGACCCACCGTCGCCCCCAGGGGCTTTCCCAGGACACCACCCCGCCTCCCCCCCCCCCCCCCGCACTCCCAGCAACCCAGCAATTCGTTCCAAATCTGAGCTGCTTCTTTGCTTGTTTTCTATTTGTTTCTAGAGCTGTGCCCAGGGGTGGGGTGGGGGTGCACACTTGGGGTGCTGGGGACAGAACCTAGGTTGCCACATGCAAGGCCAAGGGCCCTACCTCCTGTACTATCTCTGAGGCACCAAATCTGGGCTATTTCTTGGGAGACAGGAAGGGACAAAGGTCAGAGGATACAAGAAGGTGGAAGGCCTAGGCCACCTGAAGAAGCGAGGCAGAACAGTATAGGGACAAAGAGCAGGAACAGAGGGTGACAAGCTGAGGGAGCAGAGGGCTCAGAGTCCCCGTGGCGGAATTCAGCGGCCCCTTCTGTCTCAGCTGTGCCGGGTATAAGCAGGGGAGGCCAAAACTAGAGATGATCAGAGGCTGGGTAAGCCACCCCCGTCTCCTACCACTGACCCTCAAAAGCTGGGACTAAGCAGGGCAGTGTGACCCCAGGGCCCCCAGGGCTGGAAGAAACTCCTCCCAACAGCCCAGTAAATACCCAGGCCATCCCCGCCAAGGGACAGGGCACAGTGACCAGTACGGTCACTGCTACAGGGGCGGCAACTCTGGAACTGTGGACGCAGGGGTGCCAGGGAGCCAAAGGCTTGAGTAGTGCTGCGCTCACTCAAAGGAACAGGTGGGGTCCTGCGCCTGTGCAGGAATGTCGGAAGACAGGCTAGGGGTGCGGGGAGGGTCCTCCAGAATGAGGACAGAGAGCAGGTCACTAAAGACCAAGCAGAGGGAAGTCCAGTCAAAAGAATTATCCACGCAATAAGCATGCTGAGTGGAAGAAAGTAAGAATGTTCTAGACCAGCACTGTGTCAGTGCTGTAGAAAGGGACTCAACAGGCTCCCAGATGCTGCCCCCTCCAGCAGGCTGGGTGGAGGCGGCAGCCACACACTGTAGAGAAAAGAGCTGGTGGCCGTGGGAGGCACAAGAGGCAATGTGGACACAAGACAAGCTGGAGTGATCCCTCAGCTAAGCTGGGCATGGCCCAAATCCCCCTCCCAGCTGGAGAGGAAGGAATAGAGCTACTCTGGCAGACGCTGCCCCTGACCACTCTGTCAGGAGCCCCCACTAACCCTGCCACCAGAATTCTCTCCGGACAGTGGCCACTCATTCTGCACAACAGTCCTGACGAAGCTGTGGACTTGGAATGACTGTTATGAGACAAGAATACCAAGTCTCCTGAGTCTGCTCTCCAATCTCCTACCGGGGTGGGAGAACATGAGAAGTGCAGGTTCCCTGGTGTCTCCAAGGAAACAAACCCCAAGTCACAGTGAGAGCCAGGCTCTGGCTTAGACCCCTACATCCCCATGTACTTAAGCGTGTCCCCAAACAGACCTTGAAATAAGCGTACAGAAGCCACACACATGGGGGCCGGAGTGATAGGACAGTGGGGAGGGCACTTGCCTCGCACATGGTCAACCAGGGTTTAATTCCCAGCATCCCATATGGTCCCCCGAGCACTGTACCAGGAGTAATTCCTGAGCAGAGCCAGGAGTAATCTCCAGATGTGGCCCAACACCCTTCTTCCTTCTCCCACAAAAAAGCCACTCTCTCAGCAAGAGCATTCCCAAGCTTAGTACTGCCCAGCTCTCTGCCAACGTCACAACAGCCCATGCTGGTGGCAACACCCTACGCTCAGTTCATGCCCTTCAGTGTGCTCCAGGATCCGTCCCTCGTACCTGTTCAGAGTTGCCAGTAATTCAATTCAAAACAGAACTTAGGGGGCTGGAGCAATAGCACAGAGGGTAGGGCGTTTGCCTTGCACGTGGCCGACCCAGGTTCAATTCCCAGCATCCCATATGGTCCCCTGAGCACCGCCAGGGGTAATTCCTGAGCACAGTGCCAGGAGTAGCCCCTGTGCATTGCCGGATGTGACCCAAAAAGCAAAGAAAAAAAAATAGAACTTAGGTGCCCATCATCACGGTGGGACCAGGCCAGCCTCAGAACCACCTAGGAGACATGAGGCTCCTGCCTCGGCTGGTCATCAGCTGTGTGGGAAACATCCCGATCCGCAGCAGTTCAGGGGCCAATATGGGCAGCACCTGGAGGCACTTACCAGCAGACCAATTCCCAATCTCCCCAGGTGACTACACGGACAAGTCTGGAGCAGGATGGAGAGCAGGAAGACGGTCCTTAAGAATTAAGTCAAATGGAAACCATCCTCCAGTTTCATGTCATAGTGGCTGCATGGCCGCCAAGAGTGCTGTGGATAGGGTGGCCCTGCCTTGCACAAGACCTGCCTGGGTTTGATTCCCAACACCCCATAGGGTCTCCAAGCCCTGCCAGGAGTGATCCCTAAGCAGAGGGCCAGAAGTAAGCCCCCAATACCAACAGGTGTGACCCAAAACCAAAAAAAAACAAAAAAGCCCAAACCTTTCTGGCTCTCAGCAAGGAAGGTCCCATGCACTTCCAGAAACAACTTGGTACGATGCAGCCAATCACTCCAACTTGGCTGAGAGGAGGCAGAGAGGCCTCTCCCAGCCATCTGGGTGTGCGCCCCCCACACCAGTTATTTTCTTCCCCACTCCAGCGGGTGAGAAAAGAGAAGGTTCCTTCTGCCTAGGCAACGGTCCCTCTAAAACGTGGGGGGAGAAAGAAGACTTTTACGTCTTGGCTATGAGCCACACCCAGCTGTGTTCAAGTCTTGCTCCTCATTCTGTGCTCAGAAATCACTCTGATAGGGCTCAGGAGACCATGAGGTGCCAGGGATCAAATTATGTGAAAGGACTGCTATGGGCAAAGCACGTGCCCTACCCAATGGAACATGGGTCAAGGCCACTGCCCCCCACCCACCTTATATAAGAGGGTGCAGGTTTTGTTGTGAGGAGGGAGGGATCCATGTATCTCCAGAGAGATGGCACTTTCCAAGTTGTCTTTTTGTTGTTTCTGAATTAACCTGTTTTATTGGTCAAAGAGGTTGTAGTCGCACTTTCAAATGTGATCATACCCACAGCCTTCCAGCCATAAAGACAACTTTCCTTCCAACTTGTCAGCAGAGACTGCTACCCCACTGCAGTCACAGACAACACAAAAACCCCAGAGTCCTACAGGGTTTGGGAAGGAATGAACTCATAGATGCAATACTCAGACACTGGGTCAGTGATATGCACGCAAAACCACTCAGAATGCCTAGGCCGGGGGCTGGAGCAATAGCTCAGCGGATAGGGCATTTGCCTTGCATGCGGCCTACCTGGGTTCGATTCCCAACATCCCAGATGGTCTCCCGAGCACCGCCAGGGGTAATTCCCGAGTGCAGAGCCAGGAGTAACCCCTATGAATTGCCGGGTGTGACCCAAAAAGAAAAGAAAACAAAACAAAACAAAATGCCTAGGCCGTCTCTGGCCCTCCCATAGACGCATGTGTAGGCCCCCTCTGACTGCCCCCCGCCCCCCACAGAGAGGCATGTGTAGGCCCTCTCTGACTGGCCTCTAAGAGACACATATAGGTTCTCTCTACCACAGCGTCTGAGATACGTAATGTCTAGGACGGTTGTTTTCCCTGAATTCAGTCCTGGGCTCACAGGTGAAATTATACACAGCAAATATTGCCCACAGGTGAAATTATATACAGCAATGCCACTCATTCCCTTTCTGTTCAGACTGTTGCTTCAGTCAGCTGACCATACTTCCAGACCCTGGATGAGGCGCGACAGCTACACGACCTCCCACAGGGGACTCCAAAGAACCCCCTTGAAGGTTACTAGTTCCCCCACTCCTCCTGGCTCAGTCAGCCATTTCTTCTACCATACTATAAAAAATCATTAATCGAAATGGAATATATGCCAACCTGGATCCGTTACACTTGGCATTGCGATTTTTACAAAATGAGGGTTTGCAGGTTTGTGACAACCCCATGGCAATGTTCAAAGGCCTAACAGGCCATTGACCAAGAGCAGGGACTTACCCTATCACATCTTAGTATTCAAAATACTCCGAACTTTCCCACTATTAATAGACCTGCCATGATGATTTATGATCAATAGTCTCTGATAAGACCACACTGTTTGGTGTACCACAAATCAGAAACTTGGTCAGTGTGTTCTGCCAGCTCCACTGCCTGGTGGGCTCCCCACCTCCCTGACCTCAGACCTCCTTACTCTGAGATTCAACATTAAAATCAAACCCAATACATTTCTCAGCGTATTTCAAGTGTTCAAGTCAAAGCCACTTTCAATCAAAATCTCAAGATGAATAAAGCTGATGAGGAAACATTTCAAACACCAAGAGATGCCGAAGGCTGGCTGATGTGCACCAGTCAACTGAGCTGTGCATGCAAGGAAAATTCCAGAAAGAAAAAGGGCCGGAATGATAGTACAGCAGTTTGCACATGGCCAATCTGGGTTCAATCTCTGGCATCCCAGATAGTCCCGAGTGATCCCTGAGTGCTGAACCCCGAGTAACCACTGAGAACCACGGCGTGACCCAAAAACCAAGAAGTGAATAAATGAAATTAAAAGGGTCACACCAGTGACTATGCGATAAGAAACAGTCTCGTTATGAATCTGGAGAAAGTTTGGGTGGTCCACATATTAGACCAAAATGACAATAACATTCCTTTAAGACAAGGTCTAACAAAGAGGGACCTCCTAAATTCCAGTCTGAGGAGAGGAAACTGAGGCAGAAGTTAGTTCACAAGGTTTCCAGAGAGAAGCCGACTCTGTAACAAAATACACACTGCCAGTGCTGATGGTGACCTAGGGAGTGCTCCAAAAGATCTGCTAAGACCACCAAAGAGGGTAGAGATGCTAAAATAAAAGGCTTTCAGTGTAGACTAAACAGTCTCTAACTGGGGCTTTTGCAGACAAAGAGCCGCCACAGCCTGGCTTCAAACCTCACAGGGCAGGCGGCCTGGTTCTGAGAGTTAAAACACTGGGGACACAAAGCTGAAGCCAATGCTCACTAGTCAAAAATTCTACCACTCAGGACCACAGGAAAAGGTGGAGAGCACAACAGTCCAACAGCACAGCAGTAGGGCATTTGCCTTGCACGCAGCCAACATGGCCGACCCGAGTTCGATTCCTCCGCCCCTCTCAGAGAGCCCGGCAAGCTACTGAGAGTATCTCACCCGCACGGCAAAGCCTGGCAAGCCACCCCTGACCTATTCCATATGCCAAACACAGTAACAACAAAGTCTCCAATGGAGACGTTACTGGGCCCGCTCGAGCAAATCGATGAACAACGGGGTGACAGTGACAGTGACCAGAGTCAGATTCAGAGGCAATGCACCCTCTACTTGCACCCTCTTGCAAGGGACCCTGAGCAGCAACTGTGAATCGGGCAGACCAGATTACATTCCCAATCTCCAGCAACTCCTAAAAATGAACATACATTAACACACCATCATGCTATAAATTTTCCCTTATGTTAAATTATGTCAAATAAATCTAACCTATCAAGTCAAGCCATTTTTGCTCGGATTTTCCTTCTGCAATTAATGTTATACCAGGAGACCACATGGTTTACAGAGAATACACCCCGAGCTAGAGAGACAGCACTTGCTTTGCACCCGGTCAAACTGGGTTCGATCCCAGGTACCTCATAAAGTTCCCCGAGTCTACCATGAGTTCAGAGCAGGAGAAAACCCAGAAACAAAACAAACACAGAATACTGAGGAGCCAGAATAATAAGAGTTAAGGTACCTGCCTTGCCTGCAGCCGACCCCGGTTCAAATCTTGGCACCATATATGGTCCCTAGAGCACTGCTGGCTGTGCTCCCCACCCCAAAGAATAATTTGAGAGAGGTGAAATAACTCACCACTGAGACCTGGGTTTGACCCCAGGAACCAACAAAGCCCCAAGCACCAAGCCAGAATTAGACCCTGAGCCACTGCTGAGGTGTGGTCTGAAAACCTAAAGGAAGACTCCTAGAAGCCTCATGGTCCCAGTCCGTTTCCTGCACCAATGGTACCCACGGCTAAAATGTTTCCAGGCCTCTCCAAAGCCAGTAGAATAAACCCACACACTTCACAAGGAAACTCCAGGTGCAGCACCCCGGTCCCGGCCCGGCTCACTCTCCCCAGGACACACTATGCCTTCCCCTAGAATTCCGTAGCGCTGAATTCTCTACTAAGAAACCAAATGAGCAGGCTGAAGTGGAAGGGCTCGGACATACAGAAATCAATGGGCGTCCTGAAATCTCTGAGGGTCCTGTGAACCCATTCCCACTCAGCAGCGCCCCAAACCTCTTCCAGCAATCGGCGCACTTTGCTAAGAGGCCACCCACACACACACACACTCCCCTCCTACCAGCACAGAGATGGGTCGAAAACACAACCCGCAGAGTAATTCTTCCTGCTTAAGACCTCGGCTTCGTGGTTTCTCGGCGGCCTTAAGTCAGATTCTGAATTCCTGGCGTCCTTGCGCAATCAGTTCCAGCTGACCTCTTGCACAATCTGGGTTCCAGGCTCCAGCGTCTCCGTGGCCCCCAGCTAGGAAGAGACTGTTCCTGCCTATTCGGTTCACTGATGCGCTCCGGCCCGGCGCCCGGTACAGGGAGAGCCTCGGAAACAGCCTCATTTCGATGATCAAACTCTGAGTTCACAAAGCGGCGGCGGCACAAACCATCACAACAATCCTCTCGGCGTGCGGGATCCGGCACGCAACAAAGCCAGCCTGCGGGAGCGAGCTGCACACGGAGGAGCGCGCCACTCGGCGGGGGCGCGCCCGCGGGGGGGCGGGAAAAGAACCTTCCGGGGATGGTGGCCGCGGAGCTGGGCCTCAAAGGAGGCCGAATCCCACCCAAAGACCCCAAAGGCCAGATCCGGAAACGACCCGTGAGCCCCGGACGCCCTGGCCCGGCATCCTCGCCGGCCACAAGTGGGCGCGAGCACCGAGACGGTGCCCACCGGGACTGCGCCGGGCCGCGGCGGGGGCGCGGGGGTCTCCGGGCCGCGTTCGCCTCCAGGCTCCACCAGCGACCGGTACCCGCCTCGCCCGAGCCGGGTCCGCGCCCCACGGCCCGAGCAGACCCCCGCGCGGCGGGGCGGCGGCGCGAGCACACAAAGGCCGCGACGCGAGCGGGGCGCAACGACGCTCAGCCGGCTCCTCCCGGCCCGGGCCGCACGGCCGTGCCCCCGCCCGCCCGGCCGGGCCCCGCCTGTGACCTTGGCAGCGTCGCGGCCCTCCGGGCCTCAGTTTCCCCAGTGCCGCGCGCAACAGTGCCTCCGCGGCCGCCCTCGCAACCGCCGGGACCCGGGCGAGACCCCGCCGAGGACGGCTCGGGGCGGCCGAGGCCGGCGGGCGGGAGGCCCCGGGGCGGGCGGCGGGTCCCGCGCGGGGGAGCGGCGCGCCCAGGCTGCTTCCTGGGCCGCGGCGCTGAGGCCTCTGCAGGCCGCAGAGCCCCGCCATGTCCCCCAGTCGGCCCGTCTCCGGCCACCGGGCTCTCGCCACGACGCCGGGCCCTACCTGGAAGCAATCTCGTCCCGCGGGCGCCGCGGCCGACGCCCGAAGCGAGCGGGAGCCTCGGAGCGGCCGAGAAGAGCCCCTCCGACCAGACGCCGCCGCCGCAACTGCGAGCCACTTCCGCTCCCGGGGCGCAGGCTCCGTCCCCGCGCATCCCCATTGGTCGCGCCGCCCCGGCCGCCGCGCTCGGCGGTGAGGCTTCAAGCCCATTGGACAGGAGCCTCATCTATTACCGCTTTGAGACGCGCCGACTTCCGGCCCCGCCCCCGCTGGCCTGCTCCCGCGCCCGCTTTCCCGCGAGAACCGCAAGGCCTCTCGGGACTTGTGGTGCGCGCCCGGCGTTCGGGCCTCTGCGGCGGGCGGAGGCCTCGGTGGCCCAGGCCCGAGCACGCGCCGAGATGCCCAGGACGCCCGATTCCCGAGAGCACAGGCCGGGTGTGGGACAGGGTCCGCGGTACCGACCTGCAGCCCACGCCACTGTGGAAGGCCCAGGTCCAGACTGGACGGGAGAAAGTGTCCAGACGCCTAGAGATCGTGCGAGGATAAGGGGCACGCGGAGAGACAGTGCGGGGCTTGAAGGGGCCCCTGAGAGATAGTGCGGGAGGGGGGACTTGGGGGTCCCTGAGAGAGTGTAAGGCGGGTAATGGGGTCCCTGATAGTGCGAGGGATAAGGGGGACGTGGAGAGATGGGGGGGTAAGAGGGTCCCTGAGAGATAGTGCGGGGGGGGGGGGTTAAGGAGGTCCCAGAGATAGTGCGGGGGGGTAAGGGGGTCCCTGAGAGATAGTGCGGGGGGGGGTTAAGGAGGTCCCAGAGATAGTGCGGGGGGTAAGGGGGTCCCAGAGATAGTGCGGGGGGGTAAGGGGGTCCCAGAGATAGTGCGGGGGGGGTAAGGGGGTCCCAGAGATAGTGCGGGGGGTAAGGGGGTCCCAGGGATAGTGCGGGGGGGTAAGGGGGTCCCTGAGAGATAGTGCTGGGGGGCGGAGTAAGGGGGTCCCTGAGAGATAGTGCGGGGGGGGGTAAGGGGGTCCCTGAGAGATAGTGCAGGGGTAAGAGGTCTCTGAGAGATAGTGGGGGGTAGGGGTAAGGGGCCCCTGAGAGTGCAGGGGTAAGGGGGTCCCTGAGAGATAGTGCAGGGGGGTGTAAGGGGTCCCCTCATAGTGCCAGGGGTGCAGGGGGACATGGAAAGAGAGTGCAGAGGCCTTAGGTCTCAGAGATAGTGCGGGGAGGGGTAAGGGGGGGCACTGATAGTGTGGGGGGGTAAGGGGTCCCTGATAATGTGAGGAGTAAGAGGGGATGCCAAGAGACAATGTGGGGGTAAGGGGTCCCTGAGAGAGAGTGTAGGCTGGGGGATGGTAAGGGATCCCTTGGAGATAGTGCAGCAGGGAGGGGAGCGCTGAAAGATAGTGGGGGGTAGGGGGAACCCTGAGAGAGAGTGCATGGGTAAAGGGGGAACTCTGGTAGTGCAGGGGGGAAGGGGATGCTGAAAAATAGTACATGAGTGGGAGAAAGTGGATGATGCAGAAAAGACAGTGCAGGGGTCAAGCACTTGCCTTGAATGCCCCAATCCTGGCTCCATTCAGGCCACCCCATCTGGTCCTTGAGCACAGGTGAGAGTTGGACAGCCTGTCAGGTACTCCTCCGAGGCGCTGAGCAGAATTCCATGAACAGGGTACTCAGCCCCCAGAGCAGTACACGGGTATGATCCTGGCAAGCAGAGGAGAGCCCACCTGCTCTTGTGACTGGAGAACCCGCCCCCCTGCAGTGAGCTTTCCCCAGGGTTTCCTCCAAGGCTGTGTCCCAAAGGAAGCTCAGCAGGAATGTCTGTGTCACCTTGCTGAGTAGTCTCTTTGGTGTTTATAGCAAATTATAAGAGAATTTGGCATGTAGAGAATACAGTAAGTTTGATCCCAGTGTAAAAAATACCAAGTTGGAATGCCAGCCCTGAGCTCCTTCTGCATGGTTTGACTTTAATAGCCATTTTTTTTTTTTTGCTTTTTGGGTCACACCTGGCGATGCACAGGGGTTACTCCTGGTTCTGCACTCAGGAATCACCCCTGGCAGTGCTGAGGGGACCATATGGGATGCTGGGAATCGAACGCGGGTTGGCTGTGTGCAAGGCAAACGCCCTATCCACTGTGCTATTGCTCCAGCCCCCAATAGTGATTTTTTTAAATAAAAAAAATAAAGATTTTGGACCAGAAAGCAAGTACAGTGGACAAGGCATTTGCCTTGAATGTGGCCGACCCAGGTTTAAGTTCTAGAACCACATATAGTCCTCCAAGCACCGCCAGGAGTGAGCACCACCATCCCTGAGCATGGAGTCAGGAAGGAAGCCCTGAGTACCACGGGGTGAAGCACCAAAAAAGAAAAATAAATGAAAGGTGTAAGATTCTCCGAAGGGGGGCTGGAGCAATAGCACAGTGGGCAGGGCATTTGCCTTGCACGCAGCCAACCCAGGTTCTATTCTCAGCATCCCATATGGTCCCTCGAGCACCGCCAGGAGTGATTCCTGAGTGCATGAGCCAGGAGTAAACCCTGTGCAATGCCAGGTATGACCCAAAAAGCAAAAAAAAAAAAAAAAAGATTCTCCAAAGCTAGACACAAGAAAATAGCTCAAAGCGATGGGTGTGTGCAAGGCCCCAAATCCACTCCCTGGCACCCCATAGCTGAGCACTACTAGGTGTCCAGCCACCAGAACCACTGGGGAAGCCTTGATTGTTTTAAACAATATTTTCAAAAGTTTGTGATAATATATCAAAAGTTACAAATTTAAAAGATATTTAGGTCCGAAGTAGTACTATAGCAGGTAGGGATTTTGCCTTGCTGGAAGCCAAGCTGGATTTGACCCCAGCATCCCATGTGGTCCCCTGAGCACCGCCAAGAGTGATTCCTGAGTGCAGAACCAAGAGTAACCCCTGAGCATCACTGATTGTGATCCAAAAAACCAAAAAATTACAAATTAACTAAAAAATATATATTTAATAGAGCTAGAGGAGTTTTAAAATACCTGATAAGGGGCCAGAGTAATAGCACAGCGGGTAGGGCGTTTGCCTTGCACGCAGCCGACCTGGATTCGATCCCCGGCATCCCATATGGTCCCCCAAGCACCGCCAGGAGTAATTCCCGAGTGCAGAGCCAGGAATAACCCCTGAGCATCGCTGGGTGTGACCCAAAAAGCAAAAATAATAATAATAAAATACCTGATAAGAAAGGCAACTGAACTCTTAAAACAATTTTGCATCAAATGCAGCTCAAATGTGGAGGGGTTTTCATTTAGAACTTGAATTTGAACCTCCTGCTGCAGATTTTCCAGGTATGACCAGCACATTGAGGACACAGGGCCACGCTGACACCTAGCTCCTGTGGTGTGCTTGGCCAGGGTCATGTAGCCTTGCTGCTCCAGGCAGGTCCTGGGCCTCCCACCAGACCCTCTGGGAGTGTGGCTGGGACCTGCATCCTCACCTCTGCAGAGAAAGCCTGTGCTTCTCTGTGTGGCGGACATTGTCGGGGCTCTGAGACCCACTCCCACCCCCAGCCTCTGCAGCCCCTAATCCCAGGCACTGTGGCCACTTTTGCAAGACACCAGCAGGATATCCTACCCCCAGCTGGTGCAAAAAAATAATTTAGGCCTTAGCCAGACTCCTGGCGAGCTGCTCCCCAAGTTGGACTCCAGAAGGGTCCATGACAGAGGGAACATGGCATGTTCACAGGAAGGAAGCCGAAGCCTTGTCAGCCATTGCTTCAGTAAGGTAAAAGGTAAAGGCCCTCCCGTAGATCGTCGATTTGCTCGAGCGGGCCCAGTAACGTCTCCATTGGAGACTTTGTTGTTACTGTGTCTGGCATATCGAATACTCTCGGTAGCTTGCCGGGCTCTCCGAGAGGGGCGGAGGAATCAAACTCGGGTCGGCCATGTTGGCCGCTTGTAAGGCAAACGCCCTACCCGCTCTGCTATCGCTTCAGCCCTGACCAGCAAATGTTCAGTGTGTTCAGTTAAAAGGCATGTTGCTGAGTCAATCTCGCTAATGTGTCTCAGCTCCAAGTGAAAGGGGGCCATGGTCCTGGCTGGACTAAGGGGGAAGGGGTCCAGTGGTTCAGGTCATAGGGGCCACAAGTGGCCTCTTCTGGGACAAGAGCTCTCCCCCACATGCCCACAGCCAGCCTAGGCCAGTCAGAGTTCCGTAGAGATAAGCAGAGTCCCTGGAGGTGACCCCGGCACAAAACCCCACCCAGTGCCCACCACGCACCTCTGGATCAGAACATGGGTCCAGGGAGAGACCAGGGCTGTCCCTGCTCTCAGGTAGGGCCAAGCCTGCATGATGGGGGTGCATGGCTGGGCAACGGTGTGTGCCCACAGCTGCAGGTCCAGCCCAGAGAGCAGGGACAGCCTGCACTGGGCCTACCCAATCTACCCGGCCATCCCAGCAGGGCACTGAAACCTCTCCGTCTGAGACCCTATGGGTTTTGGATGGTCTCATGTCCTTGGACGACGTGCAGGCTGAGTCGAGTTAGGCCATTTGCATGTTTTATTTCCCAGGAACTCCCCTGCCCCCAGCTCTGATCCAGACATGAGGAAATCGCTAAGCCAATGGCTTCCCTCAGAGGAAGAACCCACCCTTCTCTCCTGGTGTGTGCTCCCCCCCTCCTGCCCCAGCCCACTGGCCCCACACTCAGGGCAGGCCCATGCCCTTGCCCACCTGGAATTTCCATGCCATAAAGCTAGCCTCAGGTCAGTGGCCCCCACCCAGAACATCAGGTCCTGGTCACCTCCTGCGGCCAACTCTGACCGCTGCTTCTTCCTTACCCCAGGCTAGACAAAAGCTGAGGGTGATGTGGGGGCAGAGGCAGGGCAGTGGCCAGGACTCCCAGGTCCTCGGTCAGGGACAGTGCCTGCTTTGAGCTTCATGGTGTGTGTCCCCCAGCCCCTGACCTCCACAGCTCAGCAGACTGGACTTGCGAGATCACCGCGCTCCAGCACAGTCGGCCGAGCACGGGGTTCTGCGCGCAGAGGGGACTCTGGATGCTCCTAAGAAGGGGTGCCAGAGGGAAGGGACCTGGCAGCGCAGGGAAGTTCAGCACGCCCACATCACTTCGATGATCCACGCGGGTACTTGTGGAACATGACTGTCCACGGCTGCGTGTCCCGCAGTCTGGTAACACTACACAGGTGGAGGTGCGCGGGCTGGAGTCCAGGGCAGCGGTGGACACGTGGGAGCCCCCAGGCTAAGCAGCTTCCTGGCGGCGTGGCGACCCACACGCTGAGTCCGTCGCCTGCCGCGCCTGCAGCCCCCGCTTGCGGCTCCGCTCCATCTGCAGCCAGTGCCGCGCCTCCTGCTGTGCCTGCAGACGGCGAGACATGGGTGCGGGCACGCGGGCCGGGTCGCCACCCCTCTCCGCGCACCTCCGCGCCCTCCCGGTGCCGCAGTCCCTCACCCTCTCCACGCCGCCTCCGCGCTTCCCGCGCCGCCCCCGCGCCCATTCCTGCGCACTGCGCGCTCCCCGCTCACCCGCCGTCGGGGGCGCGCGGCCCGCGAGTTCGCGGGCGGCACTTGCAGCTGCGCCTCCAGCCGCAGGCGCTCGGCCGCCTTCTCCCGCAGCGCGCGCTGCAGCTCCCGCACACGCTCGTCCTGCAGAGGCGTGGGGCGGCGCGCCTTCTGCTCCTCCCACCTGCGGGGCGAGGTGCTTAGAGCCGCCCGACCCGGCCCGCGGGTCCCAGCGCGTTGCCGGGGTCGCCCCCCAGCAAACTCCACGCCCTTCCCTCGGCCATCGTCTCTGCAGGGTGGATGGGGGTCGCGCCCGGGAGCTTCCCCGGCACCCGTCGGCCTGCGTCTGGGGTCCGAGTGAAGGCGCCCGCACGCCCCCAGCCCTGCGCTGTGGTGACAGGTGGTGTCCTTGGGGTCGCGCGCAGCGCAGGGGCTGCCTCTCCGTCCCGGCCCACCTTCTGCTCCTGCCAGCCGCACCAGTGAGCCCCAGCAGAGAGGAAGGGCAGGGCGACAGCGCACCTCAAGGCGGCCACGCGCCCCTGGGCGGCCCTGCACAGGGCGATGAGCTCCAGCGCGTCCTGCAGATCCCGGCTCCTGGCTCGCTTGTCCTGGATGATCTCGTCCCGCCGCGCCGCCTCGGCTCGCTGCTGCGTCTCCTTGAGCAGCGCCAGCCGCTCACGGAGCTCCACCAGGGACATCTCCCCTTCCAGGCCGTGCCCCGGGGTCTGCAGGATGGTCGGACGACCTACTGGGGGGTGGGCGTGTCCCCCTCCCCGCCCCATCCTGGCCCTCCGCAGCCGGTGTCCTGTGAGCCTGGACATGCAGCGCATGGTGAAGTCCCACGGGGCCATCACGTCCCTTGTCTGGTCTGCCCCTCACCTGATCTCCTACTCAACCTTGGGTTTGGCTTCAGGCCACACCAGAAAGTGCTCAGCACTCAGTCCTGATGGAGCTCAGGGAACCAAATGGGATGCTGGGGACTCAACCTTGGTTGACATGTGCATGCCCTGCAAGCCTCTGTGTGCCAGTGACCTCACTATCTCTCCTCATCTAAGCCGTCCAAGTCCTCCAAGGCGTCCAAGTCCTCGTCCAAGCCACACAAACCGTGAACACGGGCTGGCCTTCAGCTCACCTGAGTCAGGTCCACGAGCTTGTTCCTGCGCCCGGGCTGCGTCTCCAGGGCATGCAGCTGGGCAGTGAGCTCTCGGCGCTGCCGGTGCTCCTCACGCGCCTCCTCTGCACGGCGCTGCAGCAGCTCCCGGCTCTCCTCTACCACCTTCTGGACTTGGGGGACAGACAGCGTGCGGACGAAGCAGCAGTCCCAGGGAGAGGGGCCGCCCAGAATCCAGGGCCCCTTTCCTACCAGTCTGTTGCCGGTCATTCAGGAGCCGGGACTGCACCACCTTGATGTTCTTCTGGATCTCCTGCACCTGCTCCACACGCTCCCTGAGCACCTCCTGCTCCTGCACGCGCCTCTCTGCGCACTGCTGCATCAGCTCTGCCGTCTGCGGGCAACACGCACCCCCATCAGAGCCTGGGTGCCCTTCCCAGGTGCCAGTCCAGCCTCAGGGCAGCATCAGTGACCAGAGTCAGCCCTGAGTCCTGCTTAAAATGGAGTCCTGGAGTCAGGCCTGCAGAGGAGCCCCTCCCCTATCCTTCCTCCAGTGCCTCCAGGCCCTGCCTGGATTTCACAGTGAGCTGAGGTGACAAGCCAAGGGAGCCCTGGTGAGCCAAGTCCAGCTCCTAGGGCCCCCTGGAGCTCCCAGCCCTGGGCACTGCATCTGCTGTGGGGGCACCCTTTCCCCAGGCTTGTCTCCCCTACGGCTCGCGTCCAGATACTGCTCAGCATCCTGCATGCCTGATGTCCACCCCCTTCCTGGCCTGCCTGGACCACAGTTGGTCCATTCTGGGGCTGTGTCACCCCTCGAGAGACATGGATCAGTGTTCTTGCCATGCCTAGGCTCCGGAACCAGAGAGCAGAAGGAAGCTGGTGCTCTGTGGGTGCTGGCACAAGTGGGGAGCCTGCTGGTGGCACAGACAGTATTGCAGGTCTGGGGCACCTGGGGTGCGGGACGGACTCAGGTGGACTATGTGAGTGGCATGGGCCATACCATGAGCACATCCCCACCATCACCTGCTTCCACCTTGGATCCTGGGGTGTGACCCTTATCTCCAAAGGTTTCAGCACAGAACTAGCCTTAACAAAGAAGCAGAAGACAGGAAAACCTACTGGAAATTTTTGTTTTGGGACCACGCCTGTCAGTGCTTAGGGGTTACTCCTGGCAATGCTCTGGAGACCATATAGGATGCCAGGGATTGAACCTGAGCCAGCCATAGGCAAGGCAAACATCCTCTCTGCTGTGCTATCACTGCATGGTAGCTCCAGTGCTTATCCAGAAAGGCCATGGAGAGGCACCAGAGCTTTGGTACATACTGCAGGTAGAAAACTTACGTTGCATGCAGCCACCCGAGTTTGGTCCCCGGCATCCCATAAGGTCCCCTAAGCACTTCCTAGAGTGATTCCTGATTCAGAGGCAAGAGTTATCCCTGAGGAGCTGGAGCAATAGTACAGCAGGCAGGGTGTTTGTTTGCCTTGCACACGGCTGACCCGGGTTCGGTCCCCGGCATCCCATATGGTCCCTGAACACCGCCAGGAGTGATTCCTGAGTGCAGAGCCAGGACTAACCTCCTGAGCATCGACGGTATACTCTAAAAAGCCAAAGAGAGAGAGAGAGAGAGAGAGAGAGAGAGAGAGAGAGAGAGAGAGATCCCTGAGCATTGTCACATGTGACCCAAAAACAAGGGAAAAAAGGCCAGCATGAACAGCCCGGGGAGGGTGTGGTGAAAGGGGCCTTTGGTGCATGAGGTGGGTAGCCTGGCACAGCACTGCAGGAAGCAGCATTCCTAAAACATATCGATATATGGCTGCGCACCTCCGTCTGGGTGCATGTTCCAAGGTAAAGCCCGTGTCCTGAGCAGAACCCACACCCCCAGCACAGGGTAAGGGAGAATCCCCCATACTGTCCAGGACACACAATGCCCTGAGTGTCCAACAGAGGAGCGGCAAACAGAGGGTTTTCGTGCTTATGTACACATGTGATATCACACATATACACAGGAGCTACAAAGCACGTTTAAACAACCACTCATGTCCACACATATACACACACGCATATACATACGCGCGCATAGCTGGATGGCACACAAACATGTGCACAGGGATGTGCGTGCATGGACACATGTGTGTACATATGATGCACATGTGTGTGCACACAGTTCATGGCAGAACACTATTCCTTGAGAAAGGAGGTTGTGTGCGGGCACATGGCTAAAGCCGGATAACGCTATGTGAAGTCACATAAGCCCGGCAGAGACATAGTTGTGGGCAGCCTGGGAAGAAGTGGAGGTGGCCAGTGCAGGAGATGTGGTCATCGCGCAAGCAGGTCCCGGATTCCCCATGGTGATGACCATGTACTTGGACTTTGCTAAGGGAGCAGCGCTCACGTTTTCCCACCACACATGCAGAAGGTGAGCGACCAGGGGAGGTGCTGGGTGTGTTAACCAGAAAATCATGTCCCAGCACATAGGAAGATGAAGATGGTTCAGGCCAGAGCTTAAGTTCTGACTTGGCACACTGAGCCCAGCTCCATCCCTCGCCACAGCTCCAGGTGCAGGCCTAGAGACCTCCGATTGTTGCCAGGGTAGCCCAAACAGCCTTGGCACATGGCATCCTGCACCCTTGCACTGAGCTGCTGGCTCTGCCAGCCCAAAATCGCTGAGAGGGGTTCTAGGACCTCCTGAGCATGCTTGGGGGAAAACTCAAGTTCTAAAAATCATGTTAAATATCTTAAAATATGCAAAGTGAATTGGCCAATCCTATCTCAGTAAAGTAAAAGTAAAGGCCCTCCCATTGATCATCGATTTGCTCGAGCTGGCCCAGTAACGTCTCCATTGGAGACTTTGTTGTTACTGTGTCTGGCATATCGAATACGTCACGGGGGGGCTTGCCAGGCTCTGCCGTGTGGGCGAGATACTCTTGTAAAGCTTTAAAAGTGGAAAATAAAAGAAACATCCAGACTACTGAAAAAATACCATGGGAAGAAGTTTCCAGTAAATAACAGCCTGCTTGAGGCTGGAGCAATAGCACAGTGGATAGGGCGTTTGCCGTGCACGCGGCCAACTCAGGTTCAATTCCCAGCATCCCATATGGTCCCCCAAGCACAACCAAGAGTTATTCCTGAGTGCAGGAGCCAGGAGTAACCCCTGTGCATCGCCGGGTGTGATCCCCTCCAAAAAAAAGGCAAAAAAAAAAATAACAACAGCCTGCTTGCAGGGAGTCAAGGACACACACATCGGAGCCACACTTGATCCTGTGTCTCTCCACCAGGTTGGTGTGATTCCCTGAATTCCACTGAGCACGCAGGGCTGAGGGCCACACCCAGACAGACGGGTCAATCCCATGGGATACGACTTGATTACTTAGGCACCATTGGCCGCAGCAAGGACACAAGGCACGCATGCGCTTGACCATGGTTCCCACCCCATGTCTCTGACAGGCTTCCCATGTGCCACCGGCAACAGGCTGGGTCTGTTAAGTCTGTTTGGTCTTCCCTGGTTTTGACTCTTGGGTTCTGTTATGTGCTTGTTTCATCTTGAGCCACACCCGGCAGCGCCCAGAGGCTCTGTGCACGAGGACTGCCCCTGGCAAAGCTCAGAGCAGCATGGGGTACCAGGGACCCAGCTGCCAAAGCCTGTGCTCCAGCAGCACTGGGGCCACACCTCAGTGGAGGCGGAGTCAGGGATGGGGGCTGTCCCTCTGGAAGGCCCTCACCTCCTCTTTCTTCTGCTCAGCCTTCTGCCTGTTCTCCTGCACCAGGTGCTGCCGCGCCAGCAGCGCCTCCTCGCGGCTCAGCTTCCCCCGCAGCCTCCGGCACTCCTCGGCCACCCGCCACTCCTCCTGGTCCTGCGCCTTCATGGCCTTCTGCCACTTGAGGAACTCAGAGAAGTCCCCAGCTCCATCCACCAGCTTATCAACCCTGGAGACGAGGCCCAGCTGCCATCCCCCCTGCGAGTCCCCAAAGTCACAGGGACCCCTGGGCAGGGGCAGGGGCTTCCAAGCCCCCAGACCCCAACCCACCCTCCTCTTACCCTGCCCATCCATCCCCGTCCCTCTAATCTATATGCACCCTGCCACAGCCTTCCCTCCCTCCCTCCACCCCTCCTGCACTATCCATTCGCCCTTCTCTCCCTCCACCCATCCCCCTCTCCAGTCACATCTGTGCCCCATTCTCCAGGCTCTGCACACAGGGATCACTCCTGGTAGGGCTCCAAGGAAAACGTGGGGGAAATGGGTATAAGGGTCCACCTTGTATAAGGCAGTGAATGCCCTATCTGATGTACTATTCCTCCGCCCCCACTCTTCTGTCTTTCTGTCCATCGCTGTTCTATTCATCTGCCTGTCCAATCACATCCCCCAGCCCACCCACCTGTCCAGTCACATCCCCCAGCCCACCCATCTTTCCAGTTAACATCCCCACACCCACATGACTGTACAGTCACATACCACTGCCCACCCCTCAGTCCAGCTTGTCAGCCTCCCAAGCTCCTGCCCACAACCCAGTTCACAGGTGTGTCCTGGTCTGGGCAGCAGGATTCAGGGGGAGGTCTAGAGTGCCCGAGGCCCCCCAGGTCCAGGGCCAAGATTCTGGGGCTCCCTGGCTGGGGCCCGAGGCCCTTACCTCTGCAGCTCTTTCTCCACCTGCCGCTGGTACAAGGACCCTTCGCGCAGGATGGCTGCTGTGTTCAGCTTGACGGTCATGTTGTTAGGCTGTAGGAGAGGCTGGCTGTGGTCAGGGGCAGTCCTGGGGGCCCCGCAGGTGGGGTGTGGGGCGGGAGCTCAGCGGCTCACCCTGTAGAAGGTCAGTCTCGGAGTCCGATGGATTCTGGCTGACGTGTCTTGCCACGACTCCATTCTGGTGTCCTGCCAAGCGTCAGCACCTGGTGTCCAAGCCCTGGGGCTCCCCCAGCCTGACCCTGCATCCCCAGGCACCCTGAGTGAGCTTTGCAGAGTGGAAGGCCGCACAGGGTGAGGGCTGCTGTCCAGACAGCCTATCACCTCCCCTGCCTGCTCAGTGGGCCCAGGACCTCCACGGGCCACACTCCACCAGCTGGGACCACGGCGGGGCTGCTCAGTCCCCCCAGTCAGGACCACAGTGGAGGGCTCACCCCCAGTTAGGACCATGGTGAGGGGCTCACTCCCCCTGGGACCACAGTGGGGGCTCATCTCCCCTGGGATCACCTTGGGGGACTCACTCCCCCCTGGGACCATGGGGGGTGCTCACTCCCCCCAACTGGGACAACACAGGCCGGGGTGGCACCTCCTCTCTTGCTCTGGGGTCAGGCAGGTCCCTGGCACTGCCTTGGGAAACCCAGAACCTGGTTGGACCATTCCAGCCCAAGACAAAGGGGCTGCACACACACATGGCCCCAGGGGGTTCCTCTATGCCTTGCCCACCTCCTGGGGGGAGTCACCTGCAGGGGGGTCTCCTCACGACTCCTGAGAAGTGCACACCGTGGCTCCTCCATATTCGCCCTTAGTAGCAGCTCCTGAGGGACGGGGGAGGGAACAGCTATGGCCCCACTATTCTCCCAGATACCCCAGTGCCCATTCCTGGGTGAGGGCACCACCCACCCACTCAACTCCCCTGGCAGTGCTTGACAGCATCCTCTTCTTCCCTCCTCCTCCTCCCTCTCCCACAGCCCTGTCCGTTCTCCCCCTCCATCCATCCTCCCCCACTCTCCGTCCATTCTATCTCCTCTGTCCACTATCTCCCATCCTCTTATTCTCCTCCCTGTCATCCTCTTCCTCCTCCCCAACCTCATATCTTGCTCCTCCTTTCCATTCACCCTCTTCCCCCACCTCCTCCCCCCTTCTTTGCACATCCCCCAGCCTGTGAGGTGGCTTGGGAATGGCAGCTGACCTCAGCCATCCGACGATTGTGCCTCTTGGTCACCTTGAGCAACTGCTGCTCTCTGGGTGGCTGGTGGGTGCTCTTGGGGACCTGATGAGGAGGGTATGGTCAGCAGCTGTGGCTCAGAGAGTGGGAGAGCGGGCTGGAGGCTGCTGCATGTGCATGCATGCTATGTGCCTATGTGTCCACCTCGGTGTGAATCATAGTATGCTCATGGTATGTACATCAATGTAGGTTCAATACGTGTGTGCACTGAGCATGTATATGCACGTGGCACGTGTATACTCGTGTGCACATGGATGTCTGTGGATCTATATGTAGGTGGCATGCTTGTGTCCACGTGTATAGACACATGGGCGTGTATGTAATATGTGTGTCTTCACATAGTGTGTGTGTGCGCACACATGGGTGTGTGTGCAGGTGATAGCTGTGTGTCTGCACGAGAGTGAAGGCAGCCTCTTTGGACCTGCTGGACATGCGGTCATTGGAGAGGGCCAATGACTTTCAGTGAGCACTGAACCCTGGACTGATGGTTGGACACGCTAGACTGGGCAGAGAGGTTGGTGGGAGTTCCAGGTGCTGAGAGAAGCAGCTGGGCAGCTGGACCCTCTCTCGCAGGCTGCAGGCCTACCTGGAGGCCCAACCTTGACCCCGGTGTGCTGTGTCCACCCACCCGACGATCCTGCCAACCTACTCACAGCCACCCTCAGTGCGGCCTTCCCCGGAGACCAGGCCTGTGTTAGCCTTTCCAGACCGTCTTCCAGGTCAGCAGTGCTCTGCTGTGGCACTGGTCACCCAGCACCATGCCCTGGGGGCTCGGAGCCCGCGGGGCAGGTGCCCTGGCAAGGTGCTCCCACACACACTAGCACCCCAAGTACTGAGAATGCAGGTGCAATACTGCCCCACACTGGGCTGCGGCTGGCATCAGGAAACCACTGAAGGGGACTGGGCTGGACCCCTCCACACACGACAAGGAACAAAGGCGAAGGTGCCATCAAATGTGCTAGACCGCAGAGCCCTGCAGGACAGGTGTTTCAATAAAACATTTGAAGATGCCACTTTCATAAAAGTTTGTAAGGCCTCACTAAGCCTCTATTCGAAACGTGATTTTTTTTCATTCCAGTAGTTCATCCCAGCACACACTGTCATGGCCAGATGGATGGCACCCAGCAGGTCTAAGCCAGGTCCAGGCCCGCTGGGAACAGAGGACAGTCCCCCTCACTCGGCTCTGCTGGGCATCCCCCCACCCTCCTGCCTGCTACATCCCACAGTGGCGCCTACACTCACAGAGCTGGTCTTGGCCATGACGGGCACCAGCTCAGGCATGGGAATGGTGCGGGGCCTGGGGGCCGTCAGCTTGAACTCCCGGGGCTCCGTGAGCTTGGCCTTGGTTCTTGGGGAGCGAGACTGCTGGGTCAGGAGCCCCTGGAGGTGGCAAATCAGCTCCTGCACCTGGGGCTGCCACCTTGAAGGGAAGGTGGAGGCGCTGCTCAGGGGTGCTGCCGGAGCCGGCCAGCAGGGGGCGCGTGGGACCCTGGAACAGACTGCAGGCCTAGCGGCCTACAGATGTGGCCCCAGGTGCAGGGGCCACAGCGTGAGGAGGGCTGGGAGGCTCCGCCTCCCTCGGTGGCAATCAGGGGGGGGGGACCCCAGGACAGACGACAGGTGGGACACAGAGCTAATCTGGGCCCCAGCAGATGGCACAGCGGAAGGAATTTGGCGACTGCAAAGCACGTTCCAGGGCAGCTCTGCCGGGGGAGGCAGGTGGGCGGGGCACTGCACAGAGGCTGGGTGGAGGGGAGGTGGCTATGCCGGGCGGGAGTCGGCCACCACCTGGCCCACTCACTGCCCTGGCTTGCTGCCCGTGCACCTGCCCCCCTCGCGCCTGTCCCAGCACCCTTGACCCTGCATGCCTGTCACCACATGCCTGCCGTGTCCCCACGCGCCTGCCTGTTCCCGCACACCTGTCACGGTGCACCTGCCCAGCGCTCCCTACCTGCTTGGCTCCTGCCCCTGCTGAGGGAGATTGGGCGTGTGCAAGGGAGGAGGACAGGCGCTGCTTCCCCCAGGGGCACGGGGCGCCGGAACCCCCCTCTGCTCTCAGGGTCCCCAGAGCCGGGACCTCAGCAGGCTGCCAATCCAGTGCTCAGACACGTGTTCCGGTGTGTAGATGAGGCTCCACTCGTCCCGGAGCCACGTGCACAGGTTCAGGGGGTTGAAGAAGAACTGCAGGAACTGAAGCAGGGTCAGGGTAATGTGGAGTGCTGGTCAGCCCACCCAAGAGGGAGAGACTGCCCAGGCCCTGGAGTCAGAGGTTCCCAGAGTGGGTGGGGCCTGGACAGGGTGGGGCAGCATGAACGAGCGTGGACTGGACAGTGTGTGTGGGGGGCACGTGAATGAGTGGTGAGCAGAGCCTGCACACGGTGGGCAGTGTGAGCAGGCCAGGGACAAGGTGGGCGGAGTGGGCCAGGCATGGACTGGAGTTGGGGTGAAATAGAGTGGGCAAGGAATCTGAATGCAGTGGGCACTGCATGGATGGGTGGGGGTGGGGCAGGCAGGCGCCCCTCACCTTACACATCTTGTCCAGAGGCTGTGACTTGATGATGTCTCGGAAGCTTTGGAAGCCCAGCTCCTCCAACTGGAAGGTGGCCAGGTAGCAGATCACTGTAGACACAGGACAGAGAGCTAGGGGGCAAGGGCATGTGGAGGTGGTGGATACACCGGGGTGAGGCTCTGAATACTCGGCGGGTACAGTCTACAGAGGGAGCCACCAGGCAGTGGTGTCTTCGGCAGGAAACGCAGGTCATCCGCAGGGAACATTGGCTTCCAAAGCATCCCCCATCTTGTGGTCCTCCAAGGAGGTCCAGGGCAAACATCTCTCTTTGGGGTTTAGTCAGGGAATTCTTGTTTGTCTGTTTCATTACTGGGTCACACCTGGCAGTGCTCAGGGGTTACTCCTGGCTCTACACTGAGGAATCACTCCTGGCGATGCTCAGGGAACCATATGGGATTCCAGGGAACAAAACCTGGTCAGCCACGTGCAAGGCAAGTGCCCTCCCCACTGGACTATCTCTCAGGCCCCTTGGCAGGTGAGTTCTGAGATAGCTGCAGTACGGCCATCCAGGGGCTGCAGACTAGTGGACTCTCCACAGTTGCACAGTGCATGATGGCTGGCGCCATAGCCACCCTGACCTCAGCGACCTGCAGATGTGCCCACTCCATACTGCCATCCCCCTGCAGGCCAGGGGCTGGCTGAACCAACCCTTCACAGAGGCCATGCGAAGGAGGTGTCCATCAGAAGCTAAGGATGTCCTGGCAGGCAGCACAGTCCAGCCTGCAGCCAGAGCCCAGGAAGGGGTCAAGGAGTGCAACCCCTGCTCTGGCTGCCCTCAAAGCCTACCCCGGAAAAGGTTGTAGTCAGCACGCAGGTAGAAACGGCCCTCACGCAAGTAGAAGGCATCTAGCACGATGGTCAGCATTTGATGGTGCTCCAGACACCCCGAGAGAACATCCAGAATGAAGGTTTGCTTCTGGGGGTGCAGCCCCTGCAAGAGACATGACAAACAAAGGCAGGCGCTGAGGGCACAGGACAGGGGTCCACCCAGGGATGGCATCCAGAGGAGCCAAAAGGGGACTCTGGTGGGGTGCTGGGGGTGGTACGTGGGTTCATGCTCAGAGGCCTTCCTGGGTTCAATCCCCGCCACTCCTTCTGGTCCCCCCAAGCCCACCAGAGATGATCCCTGAGTGCAGAGCTGGCATAAGCCCAAATACCAAAGCAAACAAAAACCAGCTTTCAGGGATGCTCGGCAGAGCCCAGGAACAGAGATGGCTGGACGGCAGTAGCGGGACCCTTCTGTGTGACTCCCTCCTTCCCAAGGCCCAGTTCTCCCTGCACGCCTGACCCCTGCTGGCAGCGAACACCCCCGGCTAGTGTCCTGGGTGCAGCACCACAGGGGGCTGAGGAGGGAGAAAAAGACACAACCAGGACCGGTGAGGGTGGGGGGTGACTCAGCTGTGAGTCAGCAGAGGCCATGCAAGCAGGTGGGGGGCCCGTAGTCAAACTCCCTTCCGCAGGAGTGTGGTTTCAGCCAACCCGGGGGTGGGGTGGTGCAGGATGGATGGAGACAGGCTACAGCCCAGAGCAGCATCCCAGGAGCAGCTGCCCTGGTCTCCCAGAGCCTCCCCTTCCAACTCCAGTGGCACCCTGCCCCCACCCACGGGTCGCGCCCCCACTCTTGCTGCAGGACCACGCCTCCACTCCAGGATAGCTGCGCTCCCACTGCAGTGAGACCACACCCCAGTCCATGTGCCACCTCCCCACTTTTTTTCCCTTACCCCCCAACTCCGAAGGTCTCTACTCCAGTCCAGCTGAACCATCCCTCTCTGATGGGGCCCCACCCCACGGGCCCATGCCCCTACTGCAATGTTGCCACGCTCACACTACAGTAATACCACGCCCCGGCCATGACCCACACCCCTGCAAGACCACGCCCCTCCAGTGAGACCACGCCCCCAGTCCGTGAGCCACACCCACTCCATTGGGGTCAGCCCTGGAGGCCTGAGGACAGCTGGTGGAACTGGGCCTCACAGGTACAAGGGTAGGCAGGATACAGGTAGGGTATGTCAGCGTCACTACCTGAACCTCTGTGCTGGACACACACACACACACACACACACACACTTCCAGACCGGGCTCTGGCCATCCTTGAAGAGGGGCTATGGCAGGGGAGGGAGGGTGGGCCCTGGGACTCCCAGCAGTGGACATGGCCCTACCTGCAGTGCTGCAGACGCGGCCAGCAAGAACTGCTCAGGGACATCTGTGTTGGGTCGGAAGCGGTCCAGGTACTCCATCACCGTCCGCACACACTTGCCGTAGAGCATGTTCCTGCAAGCACACAACAGGAGGCCCCCCCAGACTGGACACCTCGGCTGTCCTCTCCTGGGCTTCGTCCCCCAACTCAAGCCTTCCTCTCTGTCCTGCACACTGATGTCCTCACAATGCCCCACATGCCCGCAAGTCCATCAGGAGGAGCATGGAAGGGGGCTCCGGGCACCCCTCAGCCCAGTCACTTCCCTGACATGGACGGAGAAGAGGCCATGGGTCACTGTGCTCTGCACCCTATTTCAAGGACCCAGTAAGGCCCTGTGAGCCGGGGAAGGCCAGGCCTCCTACAGGCATAGAACATTCCAGAAACATCCCAGTTTGAGAAGACCCCCCAGAACTCTCTGTGGGGGGAACTCAGGCTAGGGGTGTGGGGCTGGACCCCAGGAACTGGTTCTGGTGGCCAGTGACTCCCAACCGTGCCAACATGGGGGGCAGGAAGAGAGGCCTCTGAGAGACAGAGACCCCAGAACAGCAGCAGAGGCTGGAGGAAGGAAGTGGAAGGTGGGGCGGGGAAGAGTTTGTGGGAGTCTCGGATGAGAAGCCCGAAGTGGCCGGGTGCAAGGGGACAGAGCTCCAGAAAGACAGTAAGAGATCAGAGAGGCAGAAGAGCGAGTAGGGAGCTTCTCAGCACGCAGCTGACCTGGGTTCGATCCCCAGCACCCCATGTGGTCCCCTGAGCTTGCCAGGAGTGATGATCCCTGAGGGCAGAGCCAGGAGGAAGCCCTGAGCACTGCCAGAAACGGCTCTGGAACCAAGGCCTGGACCATTTTTCCTGGACAGGCCAGCCCACAGGCCTCTCTCACTGGGGTGTCCAGGCACCAGGGTCTCTGAGAACCTCCCTTGGCCCCCAGCCCCAGACATAGGACCCCTGCAGCTTGGGGTGGGGCACACACAGCCCAGAGCACCTTGTTCCTCTGGGGTGGTCCTGAGTCGCCCCCAGAGAGGCCCAGCTGAGTGTCAGTCTGTGGGGGAGCAGCCCCAGCGACAAACAAGAAGTCCAGGAGACCAGATATGGTGGGCTGCACCCACATGTCTGGTGCCAGCAGGAAAAGGCTCCAGAGACCATGTGGGCAATCATGTGGCGCTGAGCCCTTGGGTCACTCCTGGCGGGCCCAGGGGGCCATAGGAGATGCTGGGGTGGAACCTGGGTCGGGCGCGTGCAAGACAAGGGTCTTAACCCTGTCCTATGTCCTGGCATCTATGCTCTTAGCTTCAATCTGAAAGACGACACTGACCTGCGGAGGAGACACTGGTCTGAGATGCAGGCCTAGATGTCAGGCTGGAAGCCGCTACCGGAGACCCTCAGGAGTGCTCCGTGGTCTCCTGAGCTTTCCCGCCACCGCTGCACGGTTATGGAGCCTGTGTGGAGCAGGGGATGGGTGCTCAGGCCCGGCTGCGGCTAAGTCTTCGCACATACTCCCACCCAATCCCCAGAATGTTGGGGTGGGCCATGGAACCCCAGCAAGGAGGGCCCTGTGTGCGGGGTGAAGGGGCACACCCGGGCCCAGGAGGGGAAGCCCTGCCTGAAAGTCATTTGGCAGGAGTGATGCCTCCATCACCAGAGAGGGGCACTGCCCAGGGGTGGGACCCCACCTTCCTGCGTCTGCCACTGCAAGGCATCGCAGTGGGGCGTGGGTGGGTAGAGATGTGGCAGCCTTGTCCTCCAGTCCTAGAGTCTGGAACATTCCAAAGAAAGGATGTTCTGAGGGGCCCTTTGCTGATGATACAGGTGTGAGGTGGAAGAAGAGAAGCGCTAGAGAGCCCCAGCCCCATCCATGAGGGGCAGGTGGAAGGAAGTCAGTGGGTGCCATGGAGGGACTAGTACCCCACAGAGGAGGGATTCCTGGGAGACTTGCCCCCCCCTGGGTGGGGTTCAGAGCTAGGTCTGAGGCAGGGCTTTCCTCCAGCCCTGGCTCTGAGCAGTTCCTAAGAGGACTCACTCCTGGCAGGGCATATGGAGTACTGGGGACCAAAGCTGTCTTAGTATCTCCCGCATGGATTGCCTCTTTGCCTCCCAAAGGAAATCAGCCCACAAACTTGACCCAAATCCTCTCTGTCTACAGGGAAGCAGATGATGGGGTTCCTCCAGATCTGACTTCTGCATTTCTACCTCGAGGGGTGCATGGGGGGAATTCCCACCCAAGCTTATGGACCTGCACATTGATTGTAACTCCACTGACGATGCATGTCTTAATAGTCTGGTATTTTTTTTTGTCTTGGGGTCACATGTGACCGTGCTCAGTGCTGACTTCTGGCTCTCTGCGCAGGGACCACTCCTGGCAGGGCCTGAGGGACCATATGGGATGCCAGGGATGGAACCTAGGTCAGCTGCATGCAAGGCCAGCTCCGTCCCTGCTTTGCTATTGCTCTGATTCGCCTTTAGGAAACTTGAAGGAGGAAGAGCCAAAGTTTCTTTTTTTCCAGCAAATCTGTCATGGGCAGAAACGAGATGAGGAGATTTAGATGCCCCAAGACTCATGCTGGCATTTGACATCCTGACTGGGACCCGAGTTCGATTCCTCCGCCCCTCTCGGAGAGCCCGGCAAGCTACCGAGAGTATTCGATATGCCAGACACAGTAACAACAAAGTCTCCAATGGAGACGTTACTGGGCCCGCTCGAGCAAATCGACGATCAACGGGAGGGCCTTTACCTTTACCTTTCATTTGCATCAATCCCAAATGTGGGCTAGTTAACATACATTCTTTTCCTGGCTTTTAATTTTTTTTTAATTTTTATTAGTGAGACACCATGAGGTACAGTTGTAGACTTACAAATTTTTGTGCTTGGGTTTCAATTACACAATGATCAAATACCCATCCCTCCACCAGTGCCCATTTTCCACTCCTATTTGGGTGTTTGTTTCTTATCTGTTTGTTTTTGGGCCACACCTGACAGTGCTCAGGGGTTACACCTAATTCTGCACTCAGGGATCGCTCCTGGCAGTCTGGGGTGACCATATGGGGTGCTGGTACAGAATCCAGAGGGGGGCTATGTGCAAGGCTAGCACTATAACCCGCTTGGAAAGCACTGCTGCTTGCTTTCTAAGTCATGTGACTACGGAGAGTCCCTGCCCCCTGCCTGGAGGTGAGCAGAGGTGCTGCTTTACAACGAGTCTGGGGGCTCTGGTATTATAAAGTCTGGAGTAGAGGTGTGGCATCCAGGAGATCAGCTGGGAGCTGTGTCCCAGGAATGAGCCCTGGTTCAAGGACCTACTTTGGTAAAAGCCTGAAGGGGTAGGTAGTGCCTTGTGGGGTGTTTCCTGGAGACCAGCGGCCCCTCTGGAGGGGTCTCTAGTTCAGGGACCAGGGACCCTGCAGCCGGGGAGTTGGAGGTGGGGGCGAGCAGGCACACTCATGGCGGCTCTGAAAGAACCAGGGACCAGGGATCCTGAGCTACATGGGCTCCTAGACCAGGAGGCTACAGGGGCCAGGTCGGCCAGGCAGGCCTCAGGCCAGTGGGGACAGCAGCTGTGCCCCCTCACACAGAGTAGGTGACCGGCTGCTGTCCCAGCTTCTCCAGCTGTCAGTGGGGATTTGAAGAGAGGGCATGTGGGGGTTTTCAGTTCTCAGCTTCACACATGACCTACGTGTGCCAAGCTTCACAGCTCCAAATGAGGGCACTGTGCAGGAAGCAGTGGATAGGGAAGATCACCCTTCTGGAAAGCACCCTGAGGGGTGGGGACACCAGGTCCTGGTTCCATTCCCACAATGGACTCTGGAAAACTCATTTTCTAGATGCAGAGGATTTGTATAAGTATATTTCTACTGGACTTGTTTGTTTGATTGTTTTTGGGTCACTCCCGGCGGTGCTCAGGACTTACTCCTGGCTCTTCACTCAGGGATCATTTTTGGTGGTGTTCAGAGGACCATATGGGATGCCGAGGGTCAAACCCAGATCCGCACTTGTCCTATCACTTTCCGCTGTCCTATCACTCCGGCGCTACCTCTCACTTTACCCTAGATAATTTTTAGTTGCCCACCCAGGAACGTGATCATCGTTAAAGTGATCAGAATTCAGTCGCTGACTCTTTTGCATCTCACAAAGATTTCTCTTATCATGATGGTTTGGCAGTGTATGGTCCTGGGTTCGATCCCGTAGTCTGCCGCCTAACTCTCACGCTACACTCTAAGCACGTGGCTGGAAAGAAGCCCTCCGAAGTATAACCACCAGAAAACCTACGCGGGAAAGGAGAGCAGTGCGAGCAGACCTCGGGAACGCAGGGGCGGGTCAGCCAGGTGTCCCTTCTCCACCCTGGTACCTGCCGGCGGGCTCCGCGGACGCTCACAGCCGCTAGGGCCCGCGGGCCTAGGGACAAGGTGGTCATTAGGAGTCGGTCCCCCACTCGATTCTCGCTCTGCCAGCACCGCAGCAGCCACCCGCGCAGCAAGCGCGCGACCGGGTGGCGTTGGGGCGTTGTCACCTAGCAACCGGCGGTCCGCTCGGGCGTCCCGGTCCAGACTACAACTCCCAAGATGCACCGCGGCAGGGACTATGGTGCTCGGGGCCGCGGCCGCCGCCAGGCCCTCCGGGAGTCGTAGTCCCCGGGGCGCGCGCTCGGGCGGGGCGCGGCGCGGCCGCGGGGATTGGGCCGCCTCCGCCCGCCCGCCCCGCCCGCGCCGGGCGGCGGGCCGGGGGTCTGGGCGCCGCGGCGCATGTGCGGGCGGGGAGCCGCGCGCCCCGCGGCTGCGTCCCGACTTCCTCCTGGCCTGTTCGCCGGCTGCGGGGCCGCGCACGGGCGCCGCTCGCGGGGCCGCCGGGCCGCGCACCTGCCCCGCGCACTTGCCGCGCCCGCCCGGCCCTGCCCCGTGCCCGCTGCGCGCCGCAGCCGGGGCCGGGCGCAGCGCTGCGGAGGCCAGGGCCGCCCGGGGCCGGGCTGGGCCGGGCGCGGCGCGGCGATGATGAACAGGTTCCGAAAGTGGCTGTACAGACCCAAGGTGAGCGCCGGCGCCCCCTCCCCGTCGCCGCCCGACCGCCCGCGGGGCAGCCCGTGCGCCCCCGCGCGCCCCAGCCCGGCTCCGCGCCGGCCGCTCCCGCCTGGCGCTGCGTCCCTGGGCCGGGACCGGGCGGCTGCGCCCGTCGCACTGCGGCCGCGGCGTCCCCGCAGCCCGCGCGGCTCGTGCCCGCTGCGGCCGGGGCGGGCGGGCGCCCCCGCACCCGGCGGACACAGCCGGGAGGATCCCCACCGACCCCCGGGCTGAGCGCCTCTCTGGATTCGGCTTCCCGGCGCCCCCGCCGTGGGTGTTTGCAGCCCGCCGGGGGCCGGGACCTTCCCGGGTGCAGGGCGCCCCGTAGCTACTTGTTGGCTGCCGTTCCGGTTCACGGTGCGGCGGCGCTGGGTGTGGTCCAGGCCCGCCGCCCGCGGCCACCCCTCGAGCTCCCCGGCGCGGGGGCCGCTCAGGCATCTGTTCCCGGGCGCTTGTGCCCCACGCCCGACCCCGGGCTGAGTCTCGTCCCGGGCTGGGCTGCAGCGATCTTCCTAGTGACCGGAGCCAGTGCGCGGGGGTCGCCCTCAGGTCAAGTGGCGGGGGCAGAGGCGTTGTTCGGCCTGGTGCAGCGAGGCGGACTGGGCGCCCTTCCTTCCTGCGGGTAATTGATAGGCGCCCCAGGTCCACTTCCCCCCTGGAGGTGGTAGCCCCAGCTCGCCCCTCCAGCGGTTCTCTGGGCTTTCTGGCCCCCGATGGCTTAGGAGCTTAGGAGCCGCCGTTCCTGCGGAGGCTCTGACAGCCCGGAGTGGTCTGGTGGCCACCTGGGCACTCCCTGGGCTGGAATCCGCCTTTGGAGTTCAGAGCAGTAGAGCGAGGGGCTGTGGTGGGCTCCCCCCCACCCCAGCTTTTCAGTTTTCAGTCCCGAGCAGGGATTTGTGCCTTGGAGTTCGAGAGTTGCAGCTCAGGCTTCCCTTTCCCTGGAACGGAGCTGAGCTGGCACCAGGAGCAGTGAGATGTGGCTGGGGGCGCCGTCTGCCCCAGGCGTGGGGGCTTGTGCTTTTCCAGGCTGTATTTCCATACCCCATTCAAGTGGCATTCTTGATTTTAGTCCACGCCTATCTTCCAGACTGAACACTGAGCTTCTTGTTCCTTACAACGTGCTGGAAAATGTTCTGCAACCAAAAATGTTATTCATTGTTCCTGTGGTTCTTAAAATGTTTGGAAATGCTTTAGAATATTCTTATGTGGCACTTAAAATGAAATGTCTGAATCTTTAATAACTGCCTAAGTGGAATAAAAAAATACATGATGCATAATACAATAGTTTAACATTTGGGAATCTCAGATTTTCATTTATCTTCTTCAAAAGCCCATCCTTCAAATGCAGATTTCTTTTCCATCGCTCGCTGTCACCTGCCTTCAGTGCTGTGGCTCAGGAAGCACCCCCGCACCCTGTTGTCTTGGGGATGGCCTCGCCAGGAGCTGCCCTTTGTAGAGACGACTGGTGCTGTAGAGGGGGACAGATGTCAGTAGAGAGTCTCCTGCCAGACTGGACCCTTCCTGCTAGCCCTGGTGCGGTGCTAAGGGGTGAAGTTCTGCCCTAGGGAAGCGAACCCCCACAAGCTGACCCAGCTGGGACCATTAGTGGGGCTCACAATGAGCTTGAGTTTTTCACCTCAAAGAATTGATTTCACCCCACACGGGGTGCTGCTGTCCACAGGGATGAGGGCTTCGCCGTGGTCGGTGGTTACCAGGCTCAGCCGTGCACCCCAGGAATACTCTCGACTGCACTCCCAAGCCCCCTTCCCACCCCTCTTTCAGGGCGAGCATTCCTCACAGGCATAGCTTTGCTGCCCGGTGGCTGTGTGGACGTTTCCCGTGTTTGCTCGGGGAGTTCTGGTGCTACTCTGCGTGGGATTTCTGATGCTGACATGTGGCTGAGTGGTGGTTGGGGTCCCTTATGTTGCAGCCGTGGGTGGGGGTGACGTGTTGGTGTCCAGCTCATTCAGGCCAGCTGGTGGTAGGTCCTGCAGAGGTGGGGGGCTGCGATGGAGGGTTATAGACAGGGTTGCAGCCTGGCCCTTCTGGGTTACTGCTGGGGTGTGTGAGGGTAGACTGGGACATCAGACCCCCCAAGACCTGAGGCTCACGTGAGGGCCACCTGGCAGGTGCCAGGGAAAGGCAGTGTGGCAGAGCTCCCAGAGGCTGCTGAGTTCCTCAGCATGGAAGATTCTGGGTCCGGGAAGCCATGGTGGGGGTGGGGCCCCTCCCTGATCCAGGCACCCCCCACCCCGCCTGCGGCTCTGCAGGGAGTGACTCAGCTCGGCCACCTCCTGGGCCATAGTTGTCCCGGCAGGCGAGCGGCCGCTGCTGATGGCCATGGCCGTGGGTTCTGGCGCCAGTGCCAAGCCTGACGTCAGCCTCGGGTGCTTTAGCAGCCAGCCTGGGCCTGATGCTGACGGGAAGTGATGGCAGTTTCCATGCAGGCGGCGGCGGGGAGGGGGTGGGGGGGAAGTCCCAGAAGGCCTGATTGATCCAGGGATGCTGGGCTCCAGGCTGGTAGGGCCGTGAGGGGGCTGAGGTCGTACCAGCCTCGCAGGACCTCTCTGGCTGCTCCTCTGCTGCAGGCCTGCGCACCCTAGGGCTGCAGCCAGGCCAAGGTGGACATTCTCAACAGCCCTGCACCTCAGTGGCCTCATGCATGGATGGGTCACTATCAGGCCCAGGGACCATGGGCACTGCTGGTGGACCTGCGGTGGGGTGCACCAAGACCCCCGAGTCTGCAGTGTCCTATGGGCTATGCCTCCCCTCACGTACACCCCACTTCCAAATAAAGCAAACCCCTTCTTTGGGGGGGGCTGGTTTCCTGTGGCTAGACCCCAATGGACCCTGCCAGGCTGGGGAGGGGCAGAGGCCCCCGAGCCCCAGCAGCCCCAACCCCTGCCCCATGCCTGTACCATGGCCCATGGCCCCAACAGGCTGGGGCATGAGCTCAGGGACCCCCACTGCTTTGGGCACAGAGGTTTGGGGTGCTGTTATCACAGTCTGAGTGGGCCTTATTTTACAAGAAGTTAACTTGCTGATGCCACAGGAGCAGGGTTTGAACCCTGCACCCTATAATCCACAGCTTGCACCCCACAGCCCCAAACCCATACCGTATATCTGCACCTTACACCCCACAACCAAGGCCTCATAACCTGCACCCAAATCCTACAACCTGAACCGCACACCTACAGCTCAAATCCCACATCCTGCTCCCCCCATCCTACTGTTCACACTCATCCATGGCCGGCCAGTGGGATCCGTAGGCTGTGCAGAGCCCTTGGTGCTGTGCCCACTTGTCCCTTCAGAGCTTTTTGCAGTTGGCTCCTCCCTGACAAGCAGAGCAGGGTGAGGGCGAGTGCTGCTTCCTGGATCTAGGGGAGGGGCGGGTGCTGAGGTCCTGGGTCAGAGGGAGTGATGGGTGCTGGGGTCCCGGGTCTGAGGGAGAGACAGGCCCTGGAGTCTCAGGTCTGAGGGAGAGATGGGTGCTGGGGTCCCAGGTCTGAGGAAGAGATGGGTGCTGGGGTCCCAGGTCTGAGGGAAGAAGGAGTGCTGGGGACTCAGGCCTGAGGGAGAGGGGTGCTGGGGACCCGGGTCTGAGAGAGAGAGAGGGGCGCTGGGGTCCTGGGCCTGAGGGAGAGATGGGCGCTGGGGTCCGGGGTCTGAGGGAGAGGGGGGTGCTGGGGTCCCGGGCCCGAGGGAGAGATGAGTGCTGGGGTCCCAGATCTGAGGGAGGAAGGAGTGCTGGGAACCCAGGCCTGAGGGAGAGGGGTGCTGTGGTCCCAGGCCCGAGAGAGAGAGGGGTGCTGGGGTCCTGGGCCTGAGGGAGGGGTGTGCCCTGGGTTTGGATTCTGTGGGATGGATGCTGGTCCCTTTGGTTCAGGTGAGTGCCGGGGCTGTTGCGAGCGGCCCGAGAAATGCCACTTGGGGCTCCCTAGCTCCCCTCACTGCTGGGGGGGACGGGGGCTCTTCTCTCTGCAGGACTTTGCACAGCCACTGTTTCCCCCATGTCCCCAGTCCATCACTGTACATCAGCCCAGCTGAGTGGGGCGGTGGGTCTTTTGGTGACTCTGGGATCAAACCAGGGCCTCCCATGTGGCAGCCTGTGAGCTGAGCTCTTCAAGAACATTTATTCCTTTTCTGGGGAGCCCAGGAGTGCTTGGAGGGCCTGGCTGCCACGCCTGGTGAGGGGTCGGTGCTGTGGCAGCAGGGCCCAGGTCCCAGGCCTCGCATCTGGGCAGAGGCTCCAGCCCTCTGGGTTGTCTCCACAGCCCCTCAAGAACTTGTTTTTAGGGGGCCACAGTGGTTGTGCTGGGGCCCTCTCCCGGGGATCAAAGTGAGCGCCTACCACTGGGCCTACCCTGGCCCTCAGGGACAGAGTGTGGACATTGAGTCAGCAGGGGAGAAGGCCCAGGGCAAGACTAAGGGATCACGAGTGTGGGTGCCGCACGCTTGGCTTGGGTGTGTCCTGTGAGGTGCTGGCCCACTCATCCCCTCTGCCTTGGCTCCTCTGTGGCGGGGTGGGTGTGAGGGCACGTCCATGCAGCCAAGAATGGGAGTTTTCCGGCCTGTGTTGTGGGCCTTGGAGCATGAAGAGGAGGGGGCCAGGGGGAGAATGAATGGGGAGAGGGAGGAGAGGAGGATGGGGGTGGAAGAAAAAGAAGAATAGGAAGGGGACAAGGGTTGAGGGGAGCTGTGGAGGAGAGAGAGCACAAGGAGGAGGCGAGGGAGCACAAGGAGGGGGAGCACGTGGGGAAGGGGCCGTATAAGGAGGAGGAGGAAACAGGAGGAGGGAGCACAAGCAAGATGGGGGAGGGCGAGGGGAGTTCAAGCAGGAGGGGAGAGGGGGGAGGGGGGCAGGTAGCAGGTGCTGTACTCAGGACCACTGCCGAGGCCTATGTTGGGCCGCTGCCCCCTGGGGTGTAGGAGCCAGGCAGGGTCAGGCGCTGCAGCTGAGGGCAGAAGGG